TATACTGGTAACCGATGTTGTCTATCCTCTCTAAAGCACTTATACTGGAAAAGGATGTTGACCATCCTCTCTAAAGCACATATACTGGTAACTGATGTTGACTATCCTCTCTAAAGCACATATACTGGTAAAGGATGTTGACCATCCTCTCTAAAGCACATATACTGGTAACTGATGTTGACTATCCGTTCTAAAGCACATATACTGGAAAAGGATGTTGACTATCCACCGTAAAAGCACATATACTGGAAAAGGATGTTGACTATCCATATATACTGGTAACTGATGTTGACTATCCACCTTAAAAGCACATATACTGGAAAAGGATGTTGACTATCCGTTCTAAAGCACATATACTGATAACTGATGTTGACTATCCGTTCTAAAGCACATATACTGGTAACTGATGTTGATTCTCCGCTCTAAAGCACATATACTGGTAACTGATGTTGACTATCCGTTCTAAAGCACATATACTGGAAAAGGATGTTGACTATCCACCTTAAAAGCACATATACTGGAAAAGAATGTTGACTATCCGTTCTAAAGCACATATACTGGTAAAGGATGTTGACTATCCACTCTAAAGCACATATACTGGTAACTGATGTTGACTATCCACTCTAAAGCACATATACTGGAAAAGGATGTTGACTATCCACCTTAAAAGCACATATACTGGGATGTTGAAAAAGCACATATACTGGTATGTTGACTATCCACTCTAAAGCACATATACTGGTAACTGATGTTGACTATCCACTCTAAAGCACATATACTGGAAAAGGATGTTGACTATCCACCTTAAAAGCACATATACTGGAAAGGGATGTTGACCATCCGTTCTAAAGCACATATACTGGTAACTGATGTTGACTATCCACTCTAAAGCACATATACCGGAAAAGGATGTTGACTATCCACCTTAAAAGCACATATACCGGAAAAGGATGTTGACTATCCACCTTAAAAGCACATATACTGGAAAAGGATGTTGACTATCCGTTCTAAAGCACATATACTGGTAACTGATGTTGATTCTCCACTCTAAAGCACATATACTGTTAAAGGATGTTGACTATCCTCTCTAAAGCACATATACTGGTAACCGATGTTGACTATCCGTCTAAAGCACTTATACTGGAAAAGGATGTTGACCATCCTCTCTAAAGCACATATACTGGTAACTGATGTTGATTCTCCGCTCTAAAGCACATATACTGAAAAGGGATGTTGATTCTCCGTTCTAAAGCACATACTGGTAACTGATGTTGACTATCCACTCTAAAGCACATATACTGGAAAAGGATGTTGACTATCCTCTCTAAAGCACATATACTGGTAAAGGATGTTGACTATCCTCTCTAAAGCACATATACTGGTAACCGATGTTGTCTATCCTCTCTAAAGCACATATACTGGTAACCGATGTTGTCTATCCTCTCTAAAGCACATATACTGGTAACTGATGTTGTCTATCCTCTCTAAAGCACATATACTGGTAACTGATGTTGACCATCCTCTCTAAAGCACATATATTGGTAACTGATGTTGATTCTACGCTCTAAAGCTCACATACTGGAAAAGGATGTTGACTATCCGTTCTAAAGCACATATACTGGTAACTGATGTTGATTCTCCGCTCTAAAGCACATATACTGAAAAGGGATGTTGATTCTCCGTTCTAAAGCACATACTGGTAACTGATGTTGATTCTCCGCTCTAAAGCATATATACTGGTATGGGATGTTGACTATCCACTCTAAAGCACATATACTGGTAACTGATGTTGACCATCCTCTTAAAATAACAACAATTGATCTTGACCACGTTAAACAAGAAATAGAGGTTAAAATTCGTTAAAAAATTGATATACTTGAAATCGGTGTTGACAATCCACTGGAACAAATATACTGAAACGACTTCTCAACGATAAAGAATCGATGGAACGGTAGAATTTCAAAAGTGGTTAGGATACCGCCGATCTATGCAACCACCGGAGACCGTACTTAAAAAAACGTTTTAAATCCTATATTCTTGTCTCGCCTAGCATCTTCTCGCATCCCTTATCTTTTATCACATGGCTGCCTTGTTAAGTTGTCATTCCGTGAATAATTCTGTATACGTATGGTATTATACTAAAGGCCTATTGTAAAGTCAGGTTTAGAAGTGAAATGTCGCGCACTCACTGTATTGTCACGTACCGTAGTCATGGATATAGGGTCGACTCGTTTTCGAAAATCTACAATGTTTGCCTGAATGATCGACCATGTGATGTAAAGGATATTAAATTTGGTTTTTTTTATGTAATTTTAAGAAACTCATTACAATTATTTATTCATTTTTTTAATCGATGCTTTTTTCATTTCAGCCGCCTTTAATAAAAAAATGTACAGATTCAGAAATTACTTATCAAGGAAGGCCTTGAAAAGTGTACAGTGTAACTAATACTAAACAGTGTTGTCCGGTTTAGGAGAGATTGGTGTACACTTAAAAACATAAATTGCATATTTAACTCTCTCTCTCCTTGTAATTTTGTATTTAAACACGTCGTTTTGTCTTGTCATTATGTATTTTGTCAAACTTTATGGGGAAAGAGCTTGATGCAAGTTGGAAAACTTGTGCCCAATCCAATTGAATTTCAGTGTTCAATAAAATCTGTTCAAATAAAAAAAATGAAGGTGTATAAAATCCTACATAAAAGGAACTCGAGCCGATTGTGACGTCAGGATTTGATAAAACTGTGACACGTACTCAAATATATGCCTCTTTTTGTGGTGCACTTGCAACATCAGTAAATACAGTACATCTACTGTCATCTTCTAGCTTGTTCCGTTCAATAAAAGGAATTATAACCAGGAATGGCGCTCATTCACTGAACAGACGATAGGAGTTATAACCAGGAATGGCGCTCATTCACTGAACAGACGAAAGGAATTATAACCAGGAATGGCGCTCATTCGCTGAACAGACGAAAGGAATTATAACCAGGAATGGCGCTCATTCACTGAACAGACGAAAGGAATTATAACCAGGAATGGCGCTCATTCACTGAACAGACGAAAGGAATTATAACCTGGAATGACACTAATTTACTTTACAAACGGAAGGAACTGTAACAAGAATGGCGCCCATTTACTTGAGAGCTGGAAGGAGTTATAATCAGAATGGCGCTCATTTACTTAGGATTTTGATGGAATTATAACCACAACCTTCGCTCCAATCAGGAAAGATGCGGATGGGTCTACCGCTAATGGAAGGAATCGCATATAGGTTTCTTCTCGCTTGTCCCTTCGCCTGTCTGTCAGTTCAACACGTGGTTACACTGTTTTTAGCCGATATTTGAAGTTATCAACATTTGAAATTGATATGAAAATCCCAAATAACATTATAAATAAAATTGCTGATCAGCTATTAATGCTCTTGTTTGCGCGGATGGAAACGCGAGAAGGGGAGGAAACCGCGGGCACTTGGGACCAAGCCCACGTGGTCAGCAGGCAGATGATGATGATGATGATTAGTCTCCGTGACTCTACCCGTTGCCGGACATTGTCCAATCGACTGTCCTGTCCATTCTCTGGCGACGTCGTCGACAGGCAGGTGACTGCATACCTTTTATACATCCGTCCCGGCAATCGGACCCGGACGCTGTTCTAAAGGTGAACTGAGTTGACACTGCGCCATCCGGCCCACGGCTCCGTCCACACTTCAATTCGAAATTGAACGTTCGCTGTTTCAGTTTTTTTGTTTTTTTTTCCCCCGATTGGATAAGCGTTCTTATCATCTCTTTTAGAAAAGAATATAGGTTATTGCCCGTTTTCCTTTTATAACAATAATAATAAAAAACATTCCGTAGCATAATTTATTCAATCCGGTCAGCTTAGCTATAAAGTTGCATTAAAATATAGACCACCTAATTGCCATATCTGCCAGTCACATACCATGTAGGGCCCAACTCCAGATCCGAGAATGTTTTCAAAGGTGTTGTCTACAATACACACCAGCAAATTGAACACGTATATCTAGAACATGCAAGTTTTCTTCACTCAGAAAAGCGTCTGCAAACTGCGATATAATTGCATTTTTAGGGGATTTTCTTTCAATTAAGTTATTCTTTTTCATCAGGACGGTTTTCCGAAGTAGGTCAAACCAGGGATATACGTACATGCGAATAATTCCTTACATATTATAGTTTTTACACGTTTCATAAATCAAAACGCGGTTAATCTAGTGTGTTTTGGTAATTGAATTGATATTGTTTCCGCATTGGCTAAACCACTGGCAAATCGCCCACACATTTGTGAGAGAGGAAATCGGCCATTAAGTGTGCTGATTTAATGGAACAGTCCATCCAGAAAGGGGTGGTCTTCTTAGATTAATTACTGTGCGAGATTGGCTGTAATTCAAATAGAATGAACAAAGAAAGTTCTATCATAAATGTATTTCAATATAGGCAGAGATATTCACTTCAAAGTATTTTCCACCACTTCAGGCGGTTTCTCGCCTTGTGTACAAAAGGGCAACCCCTTCAGATTCACGACCGAAGTACATTGCATTCCATCACTTGCATAGCCGCTGTCAAATATAGTACCTATAGATGCTCTCAACGAACAGACTTGTTCAGCAATTCTCGCTAAAGTTTTCATTGGAAAATATCAATCAGTATAGATTTTTCACGTGAGAGTATTTACCTATACATAACTGTGATATAAAACCAAAGACGCAAATCACTTACGAGAACACACAAAAAAGTAGTTCTCAATTTTGGCTGGAATGACGTCATTCTATATTCATCGACCAATGAAAAAGGTATATTGTGGAAATCCGGGTGTATGAATACAGTGTTATGCGGTCTTGTTGTTCAGGGTCGTGACGCTGCTGTTGTATTTTGACGTGGCGACTACGTATTCTGCAAATTTATCCACTCCGATTGCTGCAAAGTTGGTGACGAAAAGTACGTAACTGGTAAGTACTCGATTGACGAAACACAACAATCAAGCGTGGTGTCAAACATGATAACATCTCAGTGGATAATATCTGACAAATTCAACAAAAAGAACAAGGTTGAAATTGTTTCGTCGAAAGAATTTTTTCCTGTGCGATGGCTAAACACAACTTGTTTAGCACTGACTTTTGCCGGGAAGTGATCTGCAAACCTACGGAGTTTCCATGAATGGGACATTATAAATAGGTACGCTTCGTTACGTTGTCTTTACTACGTCAAAGACATCGTCGGGTGCTTCCTTATTTGGAATACATCTTTACGAATTTTAAGATTGACCCTATATACAAGAGCAACTTGCGAGAAAACTTTGAAATATTAAATGCGTGGACGATTGCCGTAAAAAATATGATTAAGTATGATATTTTACTTTGTGATGAATGAATAAACAATTCGTAATCCGAAGATAGAATTTTATCTCGACCCAGATATTAAAAAATGATGAATAGGCCTATTTTAAAAAGATAATTTAAAAAAAATATCTTAATATAGATTATCAAAGTAAAAAAAAAGGTCATGCATTCTGTATTTGAGAAAACAGTATTGCACTTAGATAAAAGTTTTGCTTGGAAGTTTAAGATAATCTTTTAACCTGCCTCGACGTATAATTATGGAAATTAAACATTTTAAATTTGATACCATGCTTATTTCTAATAATGATAAATTTGTAACGTCTCCTTATTTGTCAGTTTGAGTGTACATTTCTTTTTTTTTTTTTTTTTTAAGTATAACTGAAGTTTAAAAGGAAACATTTTATGCACTGTTGATTTTTTTTAAAGTGAAAATGATTTATAGAAAAAATAAGTGTCGGTAATTATAGATGGAATATAATACCTATTTGTTTTAGGTGTTCATATGTGACATTTGTGTACACACACTATAGCAGAAAATAAATTGGAAGTACATAGACATAATTTTGTTTTCCTTTCTTTTTTTCTGATCTTTTTGTAGCAATTTAGATGTTTTTGCAGCCTACTTCGAAGAGGATGTCAGAGAATGTGAATTCTGATGACTTAGATGGGAACCCAGCTGCCATTTCTGTGGTGCATATGCCATCTCTGAATCAGCCAGTTCAAGTGCAGTCAGTTATCCACTCCAACCAGCCTTCTGTCATCCAGACGGCAGGTCCTAACATACAGACAATTCAAGTTGTTCGAGTAAGTAATAGACCTGTGTGACATTTAACTGATCTTGACTTTGCTTTACACTTGACAGTTTACAAAGTCAAGTGTCATTGTAAAGATTACATACAACATATGCAAATAATATCAACCTGCTAATGTGTTATAATTTGTGTCCAATCATGACCCAGTGAAAAACATGAGTACCTGGGTAACTGGGATATCTAGAATACAGGGGCAAATCAGATTTGAAAAAGCGTAACCAAACCCAGACATATTTGTGTTAACTAGCTCATTAATTGTAGTCTGAATAGATTTTATTGTCTTGCATTAGACTGTTGTGTAGCAAGGTTTGGTGTTTTCTTTTCCACCGACCAAGCATCAATATTTCAAGTTGAACGTTTTGCGGTTGTCTTAGTACAAGTACTGATATAACCAAACCTGGAGTATAACTATAAGGACATCCCAACACTTATTTTAGATTCCTAAGTTCACCAACAGTTTACTGTTTGTTGGACTTTATTACTATACACTGGAAAAGTTACTTGTTTTGTGCACTTGTTGCAGATTTGGATTTTCACTTTTTGTTTACCATTAGTTAAAATGTAAACAATATAACCAAGAATCAGTACATATTAGAAGATGAGCTGAGTATGAAAGAAGCAAAATATACTAATAGCAATTCCAATATTAAATTAATAAGATTTTTTCAAAGTCACTGAATTTTAAAAAAAAAAGCTGAGGTAGATCTTATTTTACTCTTGATAGCAACTGGAAACTGCCAGCAAAGGTAAATGATTGAGGCAGGTCACAATGTGACAATGTTGTACAGTTGAAACAATTTGTTTGAGTCCATGTAATCACCTTGTGAAGTACATAAGTGGGTGTTGATGAATGTTTAGGACACATTACTTTCAGTTTTAGTAGTTTAATTACAATACAAAGCTCCTGAGATGAGTGACATAGATAAGTTTAATATCATGGAAAAAGATAGTTAAACCACTCTCAGTGTTTAGTCTCGGGTAGTAAAGTAAACGTCATCGGCAGATGTAAGGATCCTTCACATTTTAGTCTTTATTATGTGTTCACAATTATAATGTAAATGTAAACATTTACATTAGTGAAATTTGCAGCCTTACTAGAGCATGACTGATGATGATTTGGCATTGAATTGATGCATCTATGGCTCAACACTGAACAGTGGCAACTACTGTAACACATGAAGACCATTTTAATGCTGCATGTTGTTTCATTTAGAATTTATCTTTAAAATACATATAATTTGTGACATGAAGGCAAGAATATAAATTAAAGCTGTTTTTATTTTTTCATGAAGGAAAATGTTTATTTCAAGATGAAAATAACATTTTCATTTAAACTTGTGTTAGTTCAGGTTGAAATATTGTGTCATCAACTGTAGCCATGAATTCTTATAAAGCTAGCTATGCTATGGGAAAGTTTTCCATTTAAATACTTTCTCTTTTACCATGGAAACAGATTGACAAAATCACAGTTTTTCAGACCAGTTCTGTTTAACCGTTCTAAGTAACTACCGGTACTCAATCTTTGTACAGACATCAAGATAGTACTCTAGTCAACTAAAAATGACAAATAAGAATTAAACTTGTTCTGATGTTAACATATTTAATTATGTGATTGTGTGTCTCTTTAAAACCGCGGGACAGAGGGGATAACATAATGCTTTGCATTATCTTGTTACACTTTTTTTACAGGTAGCTGCAGTTGATGATGACATGAATGATGGATGTGATAGGAAGAAACAAAGAGAAATCTTGTCCAGACGACCATCATATAGGTGAGGGATAGTAAATCAGTTTTCTGCTGCAGTGGTTATGGAATCCATGTGGAGTGTTAGACCAAATAAAGGTCAAACATAGTACCACAAAATCATTGTCTTTTTATTTAAGGTCCTTTAACATTATTAGGCATTCAAAGATGTTGTTGGATTTTTTAATCTGGCATAGAGGTTGCTGTTATCATCAGTCAGAAAATTTCCATTATTTATGCAAACTAGCTTGTAATCATATATTATTGATTGTCAAAATCTAACAGACAAAGAAAAACTGAACACTTTTCCATCCATCAGTGTTGATTGGAAATTCTTCATTTTACCTCGGACTCAGAGGCTCGCTTTAAAAAGAACATCAATCTTTAATAAATTGGAGACATATTGTGATGTTTTTTTTATCACACAACACAAACAACACTTTATTAGACTGATAAAAATCTAATTTGGCAATATTCTCATGATATGTCTCTTTCATTTGTGATGTCAAATACATGATGCCATTAAGTTTAATGACATCACTTTGAAAACCACATGACCTTCAGCCACTTACAATACTTCTAGGTCATATTACACATAATTCAACAAGAAATTATTTATTTCATAATAGTCAGGTAACAGTAACGGGAATAATATGAAGTTATGAATATTTATCAATCAAGACAGTTTTAATTCTTAAGTGACATGGCATTAGAAATTTGAAGAAATTGTTAACATACTTTTTTTTCATCAATAGAAAAATTCTTAATGAACTCTCATCATCTCCTGTGCCAAAAATAGAGGAGGAATCGAACAGCAGCCAGAGTCAGGATGGAGAGAGCCAAGAGGCAGCTACTAACTTATCCACTCACAGCAATGTCCAGTTCCAGCAAGGTGACCGTTAGTATTCAGCTTATTATCTTTGGCTTTCAGTTTCTTACTGTCACATTACACATTGGCAATACATTATCCATACAAGAACTTAAACCTACCATAATATACTTTTAAAGATTCGTTTTGCATAGTGCATTCTATTAGATTGATTTTTCTTTCGTGGCCCAATCCCTAAAAAGTTTCTGCCATATTATTATTCATAGAATGTTTTCATACATTAGCTGGGATACATAATGGAATGCCATGGCCTGTTTTCTTTAAGCAGTTCTATCAATAGAGAATAGGTGTGGTGAAATTGTTTTATATACATATGAACAATTCAATGACTTTTCACTTTTTAATTTTCGTTTATTGAAAAGTGAATTCTAACCATAATAAATGCATCTACTTCTCTTCGGCTGTGCCTGTTATAACCCCCTCCATTGGATTTTAAATCACAGGATGGTCCCCTTTTTGTAGATTATGTGGTCCCGACCCGAAAAGGGTAAAGTTGTTGAAATTTCAAAACTAATCTCGGTACTCAAGTATTCTAGAATCAAATTCTCTGTTTTACCAAAATTGTAAATTCATGACCCCAATGTCTTGCATTTCCCTCAGGGGAGGGGGGTAAGGTTTACAATAATCTGTTTTGGAATAAAATACATTTTTGAGCGTATTTTTATTGGAGAGGATACTGTCTTGGTTAGTATTATTAATACAAGATGACAGCTTGATGGTAATCACATTTTTTATCCTGGTTGATCCCAAAGGGCTAATGCGCTGGGCCAAAGAGGTCAAATTTACTCAAATTTCAGATATCTTCTCATTACGATGGTGTGACGATGGAAGTGTTTATATAGGAAAATGACATTTTTGAATGTAATTTCTTCAATTCAAACATGGTAGAAGCATTAGCAAAGGAAGACAATTAATATAACACACATTTTCCATTTCCATTACATGTACATAGTAGTTCATGTTATCTTGCTTTGCTAACAGGATTTTTTCTTTGACTTGCTTCAAGAAAAACAACAGCTTTGTAACTCTTGAGACTGTTAAGAGCCTTGGATTTTGCATCAATGCAATTATATTTCAGATAAAAAAGTTCAAAGTTAATGTGATATAGGTACAGATATTTAAGGTAATCAATATATCATTACAGAAAGTTGTTTCTACTCTTTAATGTATCTTAAGCTTACTTGTACACATATCTTATATCAAGTTTTGCTGTTACAGTGGTTCCCTCAGGTGCCATTCAGATCACATCTGATGGCACGTCAGTGGCACAGGGTCTCCAGACATTGACCATGACCAATGCCAGCCCTACAACATCAGCTGCCACTGGTGCAACCATAGTGCAGTATGCACAGGGGCCAGATGGACAGTTCTACATACCAGGTACTGTATATGAGGAGGAATTTAGTGTAAGAAAATATATGTTACATCCACTCCTTTTGAATATATCTCCAAATCTTGTTTGCTGAATGAAACATCAATTATATTAATTGAAAGTTCATCAGACAAGGATATAACTACCAAAACATTTTGTATAATTATGAAACATTTATGTCACAATCTGTATTGTTAGAAGTCTCATTTAGCATAGACACCATGCCATTTCTTGGTGTCCATAGTCAAGAGGGAGTGTTTTCACAAGCAAAAATAAATGTTAACATATCAGTTCTGTTCTATGTTATGAGACAAGTTAAATAGATTAAGATTTAAAAGATCAATGAAATGTATTTTCTTTTTAGAAATATACATTAATGTTGTACGTTTACAACAATCTTTTGGTATTTCAGTATTTGCTCAATGTTTTCAAATATTCAGATGGTAATGTCAAGTATAAGGCCTATGCATACTCAAATAGATATCCATTATCTGAGTTATTAATTTGGCTTTATTGAACTTGTGAATAGGAAAAATTATGTCAGAAATATCATGTTTAATGTTAATCAACATTTTTTGAGTTAAGAATATATTTTTGACTCTTATAACATTCACCTATATGCTTAATAAAACGACAAAAAAACAGCTCGCATAGTAAATTTCTTTGGTCAGTTGGGTGCTTGCAACCAACTTTGCTACACGTGGGTGTCTCAGTCATTCAGACGTTCATTATAAAGAAATGATGAGATGTGTCCCAGAAATGCCTACCTATGTACATCATTCAGCTTTAGATCTCTCAGAATTCAGCTTAAAATGTTCCAAGTCCCAGCTTAAACATTTGCCTGTATTAGCAATATGTAAGGGTGAATTGTACCAAAATTCCAAAATCATTTTCACATATGAAATGTATGGGAAATAAGTATTCATTCACAGACATTGTATCATTTTTTCTACTCTTTCTCTCACCACAGTGGCTTTTATGAATTGGCGATGAAAAAATTGGCATATTCATTTGTTCAATTATATTACAGGTACAGTACAGGCATACCAAATAGCAACATCTGGATCTCTACCACAAGGTGTTGTAATGGCTACTGCTGGAAGTCCAATGTCTAGTCCTACAAACATGGGAGAGGAGGCATCACGCAAACGTGAACTGAGGCTTCTTAAAAATAGGTACTTAATATTACTTGCTTATAAAGGATCTTTGCAGTATAAATATAAAGAAAAAAATCCATTACATCTTCAATAAAACTGTCATCATTTTGATAATGAATTTTACTATTTGCTGGACTATTGTTTGTCTACTTTGCACCCGGCAAGAGGGATAATTCAAAATTTGAATAAAAACTCAGCAGAAAGACCTGTAGCATCAGTGATTATTATTATAATGTACCAATTGACACCATCAAAAGCAAAGAGACAAAAACTTGATTACAGACTTTGAATCATAGGGTTAGACAAGTATACTACCAGCTTTTTTAAATGCCTAGTACTGATCGAGAAATGTGATGCATTTTTGCAGGGAAGCAGCTAGAGAATGTAGGCGGAAAAAGAAAGATTATGTTAAGTGCTTGGAAAACAGAGTTGCAGTGCTTGAAAATCAAAACAAGACATTGATTGAAGAGTTAAAAGCTTTAAAAGAACTGTACTGTCAGAAGGAAGGATAGAGGTCAACTGTGATACATCCTCATTATTAATATTGCATGGCTAAACCTGTAAAGGAGCCACAGAGGCTTTTTTAGAGCTACGCAAGAAGGTTGAAATCCCAATGACCTTTAACCGGTGAGTGCTAGCCACATGGTGCCCTGCTGGTCATGGGTATGCCATGTATCTATGTATGTGGCGTTGATCGTCTCGTACGCAGAGTCCTGACCGCTACACCCACACTGGGTTTTCGACGCAAGTTTTTTGAAGTTCTCACATTGTCGTTCGTAAAACTGTATGATATTACTGGTTTTCTAGATTTGCTGTAGTTGGTTATCTGGTAACTACAATGCAGAACTTTGATGGTTCTCCCTTCCAATTCACACTCCATAGCATAGTCTTCATAGGGATTCACAAATATCTTGTTTGTTGAATTTTTTACATGTTTCAGAACATCAGAGGAATGAGCTGGTATGTACTTGTCATTTGCCTTTTCTGAAATATGGTCTTGAGAAAGGGGAGAAAATGGTTAAAATTTTTATTGACTACAACTCCAAATTTAGATATACACTTGTGTATTAACTAGTTCAAGGATTTTTAATCTGTTATTTAATTAGTAGTTGCTCAATACTCCAGGTATTCAGAACTCTCAAGAAAAATGTATAGACACAACACTGCGAAGGCATGTTTTGTGGTATCAGATTTACAAAGCCTACACCTTCCTAAAGGAAATCATTTTCAAGACAAATGCACAATCTATTCATTATAGATATGAAATTATGTTTTCTGAATTTTCATATCCCATGCGAACGTCCTTTGTAATTCATCTTCTGTTAAATTAATAAAACCTTTGAATATCAGCTGATACTTTGTTAAAGTGAATTGAAGTTAGGGTGCCTTATGTATAAATGCTACACATCAAACTACTATCATGCATAAAGAATTAAAGGTAATGTACATTTGATGGTTATGAGTTGTTGTATGAGAAATTTTTATGGTAAAGTTTACTTGTTGTATTCTTTGCTCTTCTGTTAAGTTTGGTGAAAAATTTTCTATGGTAATCATTGTCTTGAAGTCTTCATTTTTTATTTATACACAGGATTATCTTGTGTAATGATATATATATGTGTGTGTACCAGTATAACATTTTATTATTTCATTGTTTGGATCATTACAGTCTTGTACCTGTGGTTTGATTTTGTGAAACATTTAAAATAATAATATAAAAGAAAAGCATTCGAAATCTTGATATATTCCTGGTACAGATGAATACCATTATTAAATAGTAAAATTCAATTAAAACTGAATATGGTCTGAATTATATCTCTTTGATAAATGATCTTTGTTGGGTTTTTTTCTCTCTCATTTTTCAATTCTTAACTTAAAGAACCAAGACATAAATTTTGATGTCTGAAATTGTTTTGTTATTATCAACAAGGGATATCATTACCTATAATTCAAATAATTCGAAAATTTATGTGAAGCTCTTCAAGTCTTGAGTTGTACACTTTATGGCAAAAATGGTTTCAAACTTTCTCATTCAAAATTCTCAATTTGACTGAGTATGGTATGCTCATCAATAATTTTCTTTCTCAAATAAGATTACCTGTCTGTGAAAATGTGTGATGTGTTCTGAAGAAGAAATGGTGCAGACATATTTGGTAAAAAAAAAACCAAATTTGTTCTTTTGTTTTTTTAGCATGACTGGTTTATTTTCTGTTTCTGTTTTCTTGTATAAGACAAAATGATCTATTTATCATGTCACATATAAGTAACCTTTATAATTCAAGGCAGTTACATATTAGTGTCCATTTTGAAGGTGATCTATTTATTGTCAACATCAGTGATATTGAGAAGAGAGATTTTCCAACACTTCTCTGTTTTAACTTAATTTTACATTGCTGTAAATGGTCTATGTATCGCACAGCATTATCATTAATATGTCATTAATAAAATGTATTGCATAAGTCATCTTTTGTTGTGTTGTTGGGAGTTTATACTGAAAACATCAACATTTAACCAGAAACTTTGTTATACTCCAGGTAAATATGGACCTACCCTGGTATAGTTATAAGATGTAAGGGAAGGGGGATTCGATAATAATCGATAAGAATGAAGCTTGTCAGTGGTATGATAGCCCAAAACCTCTGAAGCAGCACTTTTATCACCAAACCAGGTTAGGTCCATATTTAGCTAGACTAACCAATTCATAGATCCAAGTGTTAAAGAGTACCAAGAACAGATCAGTACATAACATGCCAATGTTCAAAGTGTTAAAAAGAGTATTTTTCATAAGCATTAAGTTATGTCCAACAAAATCTATTGGAATAGACACCTGTATCAGTGTCCCAGTAGTTATTCAACTTCTATTGTAGACTCTTATCAGATATCCCATCTACCAATAGGATATCTTGTGCCTGGCTGTATGAGAATATCTAGTGTCCAGCGGGATGAAACAAGAATTGGTTAAATTATGAGCCCTTAAAATATGTAAAATAATACATGAAAGTAGATCATGGGCAGAATGACTTACTACCCAAGGAGAGAAGTTCAGGGGACCTCTAGTGTACAGATTGAACTCTGACAAACTTTCATTGATGCAGGTCAAAAGTCAAAATGTAGGTTAAAATCCAAGTGAACCATACTGCAAATGTGAAGTTAAAGTAAGATGAAGTGTAGTCTAGTAAAGATGATTTTAAAAAATGTGTCATTGGATAAGATAGCTGTAGGCAGGACGGATATCTTCAATAAATTGCAATGTTCCCCTGGTTCCCACTGGGGAAAATAACAAGGGTTGGAATCATAACACTTCGTCCACCAGTAGGGTATCTAATGTCTGGCTGGATGTAGTAACAGGAATGGGGTAGGGGTCATAACATTCCATCTACCAGTAGGGTATATAGTGTCTGGCTGGATGTAGTAACAGGAATGGGATAGGGGTCATAACATTTCATCTACCAGTAGGGTATCTAGTGTCTGGCTGGATGTAGTAACAGGAATGGGGTAGGGGTCATAACATTCCATCTACCAGTAGGGTATCTAGTGTCTGGCTGGATGTAGTAACAGGAATGGGGTAGGGGTCATAACATTCCATCTACCAGTAGGGTATATAGTGTCTGGCTGGATGTAGTAACAGGAATGGGGTAGGGGTCATAACATTCCATCTACCAGTAGGGTATATAGTGTCTGGCTGGATGTAGTAACAGGAATGGGGTAGGGGTCATAGCATTCCATCTACCAGTAGGGTATCTAGTGTCAGACTGGATGTAGTAACAGGAATGGGGTAGGGGTCATAGCATTCCATCTACCAGTAGGGTATTTAGTGTCTGGCTGGATGTAGTAACAGGAATTGGGTAGGGGTCATAGCATTCCATCTACCAGTAGGGTATTTAGTGTCTGGCTGGATGTAGTAACAGGAATGGGGTAGGGGTCATAACATTCCATCTACCAGCAGAATATTTAGTATCAGAATGGATGTAGTCACAGGAATGGGGTAGGGGTCATAACATTCCATCTACCAGTAGGATGTCTAGTGTCTGGCTGGATGTAGTCACAGGAATTTTGCTAAAACGAATCTAAAACCAAAATTGTTCTTAACTTACCTATGACTAGCTATAGCAACAAAAAATTATGCAAGTTTTATAAATCAAGTATGAGATGGAAACGAATTTAAGATTCTTTTTATCACATGATTAATCATTCTGGCAATTATTTCAGTGCAACTCGGTTCGCTGTCTTGTATTCATTGTGACGGCACAATCTTTGGTTAGGTGACGTCATCCATTCTCTCTTCCTGACGTCACAATTCGTCATATAATAGTCAGTTTACTATTAATAAATACCACGCTTATAAATAACAAAACAGCACCAAGGATATCCAACGTTTGGCTCTTTGCATAATCACACAGATCATAAATATTAAATAAACACGTAGAATATCTAGTGTCTGACTCTGTATATAATCACACGGTTCATAAATAATCACACAGTTCATTAATATCAAATAAACACGAGCAGCATCACGACAAGGAAGATATTTCTGGTATGTTGTGAAAAAGTCTTACGTATATTTCTCATGTCAAAGAATAGTATATTATATTTACCAAAAGTACATTTCTGGTATCTACTTGTAAATACAAACATTATTGTTTGTTTTCGCCACTTGGCTTGTATAATAAAGTACTGGTGGTGATATCATTCGCGAGGAAAATCGTGACATTATGTCCAGTGAAAAATTGGTTTCCATTTATATGGAGACGCTACACAACATACTGTCAATATATTAGTATAAGACACTTGACTTATTTTCAAATCAATAACCTTATTGTGTTTTCAGAGATTTTAAAATTTTGACTATTTAAACTCAAAACTAAGTTTAAGTGAATAGATTGTGTCGAAAACCTTAATTATTTCGAGCGATCATATAATATATAGAATATATATATAGAATCCTGTGATATATAGTATTTACAGTATTTCGGGGCTTGGACGGGGCTTCAAGCCAGGTAAAAATGATAGAAATCGTCTAACTCTAAGGTGTACATATGGTGAAATGACTCATCAGTTAAACAATGCACTATCCCTGACAACCTTTACGGAAACGGGATAAAATCGCTTAAATATTGTCCCAAGCACCACAAATTAGTGAAATCTTAACAACATTTTCTGTATATCTAAGTTTACACAAAAGCAAATAAGGTTTAGACAAACTATGATTTATACATATATACCGGGGTACATACATTTATACAAATTGTATTTATAATCTTAAGCTGATTTATAAAGTACGTAAGTCATTAAATAATTTAACACGAAGTTTCTTGTTATTGTATCAATTTTAGAATTGTGACCAGCTAGTTATTTTTGCTAATTGTTTGGTTAATTTTGTAGTTATATATATGTGTGTGTGTATATATATAGTTAAGTAGCCCTGGATAATTCCGTCGTCGTTCACTACATATATATAGTAATTGTATCTACAATAATACTTAACTCCAGCATTTATAAAGTTTTTCATGTTAAGTCATTTGTATATATTCCCCAGAAACCTTCCGCGACCGAAAATGAACAAACTTGCGAATAATTTGGTCCCCAGTTCCACTTACCCGAGGGGCGGGACAAATAACAAAATTATTCTTCTCAAGACTCATACATGCATATTGTATAATGAAACACTCGCAAGGAAATGAAGTCGTAAGATTTTTACTGGGTTTTTTTCATGACACCATGGTCTCACATCACCTCCTTTGGATGGGTTATTTTTTTATGTAGTTGTTGATTATGACTGGTCCCAGGTGCTGATAGGTGGGTCCAAAAGGGGTCGAATCAACTTCTCACCACTAATTTATTTTATAAGGCTCTTATTGGTGGTAGGGTCTACAGTGCTTTGTCAAAAATGTTATCTAAAGTTCGTGACTCCAGTCGGGTTTCGCATTCGTTCCCCTGTCCGCCCATTTGAAGGGGGTAAAATAGTTTAGTATATACATGTATAGGGCACCTACAGTTCGGAAAATGATTAGCCTATTTTTAGATTAAAACTTGAAAACGATTGAGATGGGATGATATTCTAACGTTATAGAAACTTACATTTGCGTTACATGTACCATACATAGTTCAAGCTATCTTACTTTTTGAACAAGATGACCATTTCTATAACATATGTTACAGCAACAAGAACGACAACTTTTATCAAACTAATGTAATTTTGAAGGTCATTGGGCCTCTTGTTATCAGTAGTACCCGACAGCTATTTATAGATGTAAACATCAACAAAGGTAATTTTTTGGGATTTTATTTGTTTTTGTTTATCATTAGTATTATTTTATTTTGTTACTAAAATTAATGATTAGTGTACACATGGTGTGATGATGTAATTCAAATTTTTGTTTGCAATTTATTTAAGTTTTTGTCTACATGTCTTTTCCTATTTGCTTAAACGGAGTTTCCCCGTGACTCCTACACCGGCCTTTGACATGTTGACGTACAAATGTTTGTCCATCTGATTGGTGTTCTATAACTGTATTGACATGTTGATGTTTTACATCTCAAACGTTTAACTGTTTTTTTCCCGAGTCTTTTTAATACACCTTAAATCAAGTAATTCTTACTGCAATGGTTTAATTTTGGTAAATCAGTCAGTTTCCAGTCCAAAAGACTGGTGTAAATATCACGACTTGTTATCAGACCAATCCTTTTTTTCATTTCTTAATCTGAACAATTCATTCTGTATTACAATAATAATAAGTGAAATATTATTTGTACCACAGATCTAAATATGAGATATACGTGTTTATTTATACATTCACTCTCCACATTGTAGTCCCATCAAGATGATCTACCTGCGGCCGAACCAGGGACCTGGCCGAACCCTTGTTTAAATAGCATGACCACAACAGGAGAAATCCAGTGCATTTGTTAATGTTAATGTATACGGACATCTCCTGTCTCTTAATGTATTTAATTCACACGACAAAGAAGACAATAACATTTAAACGTGCATGCCTTAGCTGTTTTCTGTGTTTTTGTACAAACTAGGCCTATGAGTGTTTATAAAAATGAGTCACTTATCATAACACTGAAATTAGTTTACAGCAACAGGATACAATTAATTCATAATACTTCAGCATTATAATTACATTAAAACTTGATTTATTGGTGAATGATATTGGTCTAATTGACGTCAAATCTGCTTTTTTATAATCTGACGAAATCAAGTTATCTACCCTACAGTAGTGATTGGGTGCGTATTTTTGTGTTATCGTTAAATTTCATCGGGCCTGGCTCGTGTAAGTTTAATGGTCTACACTCAATGTGACACTTCACTCAAATAACCCTGTTTACCCTAGGACTGTATGATACGTCTCTGGCTTGTCTGATTTGCGCATTTGATCAGCATAATCCGGTAATGCCAAAGAAATCAATAAGAGTTGTCTCCCCTACCTATTACGGTCCTCTGTTGGGATATTTGTTTTCGTCGCCATCTTGGATGTTGAGAGGTGTTGCAGCGATAATGATCTGTCTATATTGAACTGAATATAAAGATGTGTGGACTTCTGTACATTCTGTCATCCTGACAAAACCTTCCAGACTGTGATTTTTACATACAAGACTCTAAAAATGGATAAACTCAAGAAAGAGAGGATTCGGAAAGTGAATCCTGTGTCACAAAAAGTCAAACTCTTCCGTGCATCAGAGCCACTACTTAGTGTCTTCATGTGGGGAATTAACCATACGGTATGGCATCAGTTATATCCTTAACGCATCCTAGTATTTTTAGATCGTCACTGTCAGATGTTTAGCTATTGAAAAAATAGGGCGTTGCAAGTTTGTATTAATATTGTCATTGGCGAGCTGTAAACCGGAGGAGTATCATTTCCGGTTTCTTGTTATTGACGAAGAGCATTTTTCGCATTTTCCTTGACGTTTAGGTTTAACAAGCCATCGAAACCTAATATAAATTCATATTATGTTTTATCATAATTGAGCTCACCATTTTTACGTAATAGTAAATGTATAGGTATGCGTGATATATATGTGTTCTTATATTTAGTATCATTAAAATCGTGGGCACTCAACAGGTTAGGTTTGTTGGCTTAAAATTTTGTTTTGAACATTCTAGGACTTGAACATGGGAGATTAATTTTTTTTGTTATGTTGTATACATTTCTATCGGTACAGCAGAGTGCATTTTCCCCAAATTTGTGTTGTAACGTAATAGATTACAGATTAATCTTGTTCAAAGTGCCCCTGCATCCACCTCCTCTAAGTAATTCCCCTCCATATCTCTAAGGTTATAGACACGATGACCGAATTTTAGGGATAGAGATAACTCTTCAAAATAATCATGTTATAATTAGTATTCAATGACAACATTTTTTTCACTACAAATGTAAATAAAACAGATGACCTCTGGCCCATTCTGCTAACCTTCTTTTGATTTAGCTTATTGATATAATCAAGATATTTTCTCCTACATGAAGTTGATGGCTATAATGATATAAATATTTATAAGTTTTACAAATTGTATGTTATCAAAATATCAATATCACACTGGTGGATCTATTATGTGATTATGTAGGTTTCCATCATGCATGATATATAGGTCCCTTGATATTGTGCCGCCCACACATGCCTTTTGTGATGAAAAATTTTTGTCCTCGCTCTACATATTGGAGTAGTTTGGCTTCTTTTTCCACCAAACAATGTACAAATATTCATTATCATTGATATATTCCTCCAACCTGTTTTCAGCTGCATAATTAATTCAGGTCAAAATATTCAAAATCTATACATGATAGATACATAAAAACTACATTACCTATTAATTTTTCATTACCTTAACTAGCCTAGCTATACGAAAGCTATACTTTCACACTGACACATACAATGACATTATTGTTTTGCTACTAATGGCAGCTGGGGGACATGCATATACACAAATGTTACTTTGACATTTATCTGGCATCCATATATAATTGTCATCACAAATTCAAGGCAATACATGTACATATTAAATTCATGCATTGAGTCATCGCGATAGAAATTTGCACATACACTTGTACTAAATCATAATGTTGTCTGGGATCCCTTACTGATCAACATGTGAAAAAATAGATTCCCTTGCTATACTAATTCATTCAGTTTGACATGATGGGAATGAAGAAATCAACACGATTATGCTGATAGTCATAGATCCAGCAGGGAGCTTACCTATTGTACAATATCAACAACAGGAGGGGGGAGAAGGGGGGGGGGGGTGGAGACACAACACAGTGAAATCAGGAAATTCCTTCCGGGAACAGCTGTGGATCCAAAAGGATACCGAGTACCCACTACAAATAAGTAGAATAGACGTCAGGAGTAGGCACAACACGAAGCAGTTCCAGTCCAATCCACGATTTATTCGTGCTAAGAGTTGTTTACGTGTTGCGCCTACTCCTGACATCTATTGTACAATATGATTGTTTCCTTGCCTCTTTTTGTGTTTTGATATTTGCCTCTACTCTATCGTGCACAGAAAAAATGTTTGAGAAATGGCTATGTAATCTACAGCTGTACAAGGCCCATTCAAGGGTTAAATGTACATTTCCCAGATTGTCCTCACCAAATTTTACTCTATATAACCCAACTCACAACCTGGGTTTTTACTTAGATTTTGTCAGTCAACTTGTCCTGATCTGGTAAAGACTGCTCTTGTGGATATTAACAATGTAAAAGTCATATAATAATGATGCTGTTTAGTATCAGGGTAGTGCATTCGAGTATATTTATGAAAAAGCCACACTTCAGTGATGTTTGTAGGATTTTTAAGGCAAGTCCAGAATGCCAATTTCAAAATTTTGATGGAGTGCCAATACTAAAGAAATGTGTGGTGTGGTCTCAAAAAATTGAGGAAATCCTACAAGGAAAGCATCCAAGACTCAAATATTTGAGTCCAAAAAATAACTGACACTCAATGCTTTGGATGTATGTATATGTATTTGATGTATTGATTTTTCCAGTTTCACCAGAACTAAATTTCAGCAAGTGTACTTGATACTGCCCGATATACTCATCAGACAGGCATCTGATTGGTTGTATGAATATTTTAATTCAATATGCAGGGGTCTGGAAAAGCACTCGTCCGGTCGTCATGAGCAAGTGAAAATTGTCTCAGACAACCAGATTTATCGTTGTCAGTCGTCCGTTGGACGAGTACTTTTTTCCAATGAAATTAATGTTACTAAAAATGTAAAGAAAATTTTAAACAAAGAAAAGTGTTTACGGTACTTTGAAAACAAAATATTCCAGTTTGCACTCTAACTTTTTATTGCACCGGAAATCCCATGACGTCAAATATAGCGTTCGGAATACCTTAGTCATTTTCCCGCGGTCATACTGATGTCAGGTGCTCTAGGGCGGTACCAACATGTACCGGTCTGTCTTTAAATTTGAAGAGTTAAAATGTAAACAGTGTTTTGGAAGTCAGAAATATACTCTCAAAGGCCCAATGAATGGTCTTAGGTGTGTTTTTATTGTCTTTTGTTTTAACTTTTCAGATAAATGGTTTGAACCACGTGAACCTTCCTGTTATGTTGATGCCTGACGACTTCAAGGCTTTCAGTAAGATTAGAGTGGATAACCATTCTTACAACAAGTAAGTGTCCACCATCAAATAGTGGTACAACGGAAATTCACATTGAAGAGCTGTATCATGTTTATTATCAGGTTAAATTGACTCACATGCTGTCATTCTCTTTTATAATGTCAGATGATACTGACCATATTGATTTGTCAAGGATAAAATCATATTGATTGATGGAGGATAAAATGATATTGATTTGTTACAGATAAAATCATATTGGTTTCTTGAGGAGAATGAGCTTGTAGGCTTTGTTTTGAGGAATATTTTTGGTTTTATATGATATTTAGAAGATGTCATAGGTTGAATATTGTGTCTTTTTTAATTTCATTAATTATGTGATAGAATTATGATCATCTTTATTTGAGGTTAAATGGGATAATTAATTTATTAAGTGCTTTGTAATTTCTGATTTACTTTCATTGTTATTCAGGGAAAGTATGCCAAGTCATTTCAAAGTAAAAGAATACTGCCCAGTTGTGTTCAGAAACCTTCGAGAGAGATTTGGAATAGATGACCAAGATTATATGGTGAGTAATGCATTTATTGATTTTGATACTGGAAAGCTTTCAATGGTTAGGAGTTGGAGTAAAAACAAATCACTTCAAAATGTAATCTACTTGCCTTCACCAGTTCAGTGCTTGACTTTGTAGTTACCTCCCCTTGCTCAGATTTGTTAGGAATCCTTTTCCTAATGCAATATATAATTTCAGATTAATTTGACCATGATGGAGAGAAGACCCTTTCTGAAACACAACTTCATTTATTTCAAAATAATCAATTTGTGATGTTCTGCTTAACAAAATTATATATATATATATACATTGTACATCATGAATATGTCTCTTTTCAGAACTCCTTGACCAAGCAAGCAATGGATGTGGACTCCCCTGGCAGAAGTGGAGCCCGTATGTTGATGTCTCAGGATAAGAAATTCTTTGTGAAAACACTAGTCAGTGAAGAAGTGGAGCAGATGCACCATCTGCTCAAACAATACCATCAGGTAATTCAAAAATCCTGCTCAGACTTTGTAAAGTTTTAGGGACAAAAATTGAAATAGGACAGTTTCTACTTCAAGTGATCCATCAAAAAAATTCTTCTGGAGTTGGTCATTTCAAGCATATGTTAACATTATTCTTGTTTTTAGATAACAAAACAAAAAAATCTTTAAAAAACCGGCCTATGTGATTAAAGTTTTACATGACTGAATCACAATACTCATAATTATGTGATTTTGCTGTCTTACCAAAGAAATTTCAGTTTTAAATAAAAATTATCACTTTGAAAAATAAAAAGGAAGGGACAGTTTAGGCAAGGCTTTGGGGATATTTTTTACATTATTTTCTGCAAATCATGACATATTCAGAATGTGCCACATTATACAGTGAAATCCACATCCTTCAAATGGTTGGCGCAAATACTCTCCTATTATAGCTATGAATTTGAATTATCCTTGAAAATGTGGAAATTTTTCAAAAACCCTACAGGTAGGGTTTAAGAATGGTACTTGCTGTTCTCATTGCATAATTTGTAACAAGGAACTAAATTTGAATTCAACTTTTTTCTTCTGTCTAATTAATTTTTTTTTTGAAATGACATCTTCGGCACTGCCTCATGTTTGGCCTTCAGCTGAGCTTTTGCACTTGTGAAGAAGGCTTTTTAAAATTTGTGTCCTTTCGTGCAGACATACCAGAGTCTTTGAAATGGTAGTTACTACAACCAGCATTATGGTAGTTTAACATCTGGTTCAGGTTTGCCTGTTGTTAGTTTATAATTTGACCGGATGGGATGTCCTGTTTGGGGTTTTTGGTTGTGTATTTCAGTGTGATAGCACTATAAAGTTGGTATCAATTAAACACTATCACAAAGAGTCTTACACGAAAATATCACACCTGCAAATACACACATTCCTCAAAACCACTCATCACATGTACTGGCTCCACATACACACAATGGGAGGTTGCTCTTAATTAACTTTAAAAGTATGTTAAGCAATATAGGATCTTGTAGAAAAAATCTTCCAGTGTGACAATCAGAGAAGTCCATATTTTAATTATTTCACCTCTTCAGATTATTGATTTGTTCTGGTTTGACAGTATATTGTAGAAACTCACGCCCAGACATTGTTGCCTCAATACCTTGGAATGTATCGGATCACCGTAAATGACGTGGAATCCTACCTTATCGTGATGAGGAATGTGTTCAGCCCTCGTCTGGTCATCCACAAAAAATATGACCTTAAGGTCAGTATTGTCAGCTTTAAATATTCATTTTTCTTTGATCAAAAGCCTTAAGAAACCTCACACATCTTTCCTTAAACATACAGCATATCATTTGTAGTACACCTTCATCAAATTTTATTTTGTCATTTAGCTTAGCCTTTTCAAGAAAGTTCTTCAGAATAAGTTTGTTTATAGTCAGAGAAGCCCACTGTTTGCAAGTCTATGGAGAGAAAACTTTGTCACTGGTGTTTATGCATGTACTTCTTTCAGTAAAACCTAGTTCCTTCATGGTGTTTTATTTGTGACAATTGATTGTTTACACAGCAGCTGATTTTATCTAAAATGAAGATTTTTGGCACTAATTTGAAAAAAAAAAAATTCAAGGTTGGGAAATTATTATAACAAATTTTGTAGGGGAAAAAATGGAAATGTTATATGTTTGAAAGTTGAGATTGTGATGAGCCTTGAAAATTGGTTAGAACTAATGATAGAAACAAGGGTGAGTTTTGGTTAGTCATGATAATGATAAAGGACCCCTGATCTACCTTAAAATTGTGATGAAGTTATTGTTAAAATAAATATTGTATTTTATTATGTGATTATTGTAAAATGTTACAGTATTTGATTAAGATTGCCTGCTACACTGCAGGTGAGCTGGTTTGATATTCTATTTGCAATTAACTGATGCACTTAAATAACAACAGTATATATATTTATGTGAGAAATTTGATTGAATTTTCTGAATATGACATTTTAGATAAAAAGATAAGTGGGATATAAGTTCTTTAATCAATGAAATTTCTAAGAGTCTTGAAGGTATATTTTCTTTGTCAAATGTTTCACAATGGCATCTAAAGTTGCATTTGATGCTAATTCACATCAGTTGTCTCGATAAAAATGTTTCAAAATATATAGATTTGTATACAATTTCTTTTTATTATGTACTTTTTAAACTTACTGCTTTTAATGTTTCAGGGATCAACAGTTGACCGTCATGCCAGTGATAAAGAAAAGGTAACACTTCTTTTAGATATGAATAGGTGTAGTAGTTCTGCTCCTTCATTCAACACTCTCTGCCATTTTAGAAAATTAAATCCCAGACAGATATAGATATTTATCACTACATAATTTGTACTTGATGCATATGTTTTTTTAATTCAGTAATTTTAAAATTGTCTCTTATAAGTCATCCATTCACAATTCTGTTGGAATGTAAATAATTCTTGATACACACAGAGGTTACACTCTATCTCTATATATGTCCGACTGCTACATTCTGGTGTATCAGTTTGTCTGTCCATTTGTTAACCTGTGGCTGGTTAACTTTTCTGTCTGTCCATCTGTTTTCCTGTGGCTGGTTAACTATTCTGTCTGTCCATCTGTTTACCTGTGGCTGGTTAACTTTTCTGTCTGTCCATCTGTTTACCTGTGGCTGGTTAACTATTCTGTCTGTCCATCTGTTTACCTGTGGCTGGTTAACTTTTCTGTCTGTCAATCTGTTTACCTGTGCCTGGTTAACTATTCCAGTAATATTCATAATGTTGGATGTTGAATACGAGCTCTTCCACTGATCAATCTACAATGTGTTTTCATGGATCTTCAAATTTCTTGTGAAAAAGAGTGGGTCAAACAATGGGAAATTTAGGTATGTCCTGAAATTCTTCAAGTTCTATCAAAATCCTTTGAATACAGGACTTAGACCTCGTATATAAATTTATCACTGCACTTCTGGGCTAATGTTAACTATATGTTAACCATGATCAGCTGTAAGTAAATCTTCTGTATCTAGGTACGTAGTTAATCAGAATTTCAAAGGAACAAAATTTGGTCTGAATTCAAACATTCCTGTTTTCAGACATGCTGTCAATTACTCCATCATTCTATCCTGTTACATGACACTTTATGTTATCAGTTTGTGTTCTAGGTAACCACTCTTTCCCCCCCACCCACCCAACCTGAATTATATATAGATACATATTTAAGAATTAATCTGATGTCTTTTCCAGTCCAATCACATGCATTTATTTCCCCAGTATGAATATACTTTAAAGTGTAGCTGTATTTTTACAGGCGAAAGACTTGCCCACGTTTAAAGATAATGACTTCATCAGTGATGGCCTGTCACTGAAGATTGGAATGGATAGTAAAGACAAACTCATGGCTACACTCACCAAGGATGCAGAGGTAACATATTGGGATTTATCTAAAACATACAATAACTTCAGATTCTAAAGTAAGCACATTTGGTCATAAACATACAGGTTGGCAGATTTCACTGTGGCTTACATTTTGGGGTGAACTGAATAAATTGTAATGTTTTTGTACCTTTTGCAATGAAAGAATCAAGAAAATAGAGGGTGCATGATGAAAGTTTGCAGGGGATAAATGGGAATGCTGATTTTAAAAAGTCATCAAGGAAAAGAGACTTTCTATCACATAATATAGGGTATCACATTCGTAAGTAAATGTTCAATAATGTGTTTGGAGGATTTTTTTTTTATCGTTATTGGATTTTAATATTTTTGATATAAGAATCAAAATCAATTTAAAGATGTACAAATTAAGTAGGTATTGACATCAGGTTGACCTGGAGAAATCAGGTGAGTTGGTGACACTGCAGACAGATTAGTCTCCCATCAGTTAAGAGATTTGGTTCAATAGAAGATTTAGGTTAGCAGGGAGAAACTTATTGCAAGATTTTCTTTACTTGTATTTGAATTAACTTTTTCTGTACGGCAGTGCCAATCTTATGTACAAGATAAGTCATGAACCCGTCACCTGATACAGTTTATATTCACCCTTTGTCTGCAGTCTTTTGACAGTTGTCTGTTAATTGTCCATCTATAAACAAATCTTGTTATTGCTATTTCTTGAAAAGTAGTGGAGAGATAGTTCTCAGACTTGATGTGTAGGTTCCCCTCAATTCCTAGTTGTACCCATTTAATATTGAATCTGATCTTTGAAACAAATCATGGTGACCAGGTGCCCATCACAGATTTTGACAATTGAAGACATTTATCTCTATTTCATGAGAAGTAGTGGAGGTTTAATTCTCAAGCATAATGTTGATGTTCCCCATGGTCCCTTGTTGTTCCAATTTGATATTGAGACTGATTATTGAAACAAATGGCAGACAGGTGGCCATCTTGAATATTTTAAGTTTGTTATTGCTATTACTTGAGAGGAAGGAGAGATATTTCTATTGCTTTTGATGTGTGTGTGTTCCCCAATGTCCTTAGTATTGCCCATTTAATTGATCAGTGGAGCAAGATGACTGACAGTTGACCATCTTGGATTTTGGCAAGTGAAATTTGTTTTCACTAATTCTGGAGATATCTTAAAACCTGAATGCTTTGGTTCCCCTCTGTCCCATGTTGTGCCTGTTTTTTTCCTCCTGTGAAGTACTGGAAAGACATTTTGTAAACTTGATGTGAGGGTGATTGTTATCACTATTTGTCAGAAAGTACTCCTTAGATTTCATATGTATGATTCCCTTGTTATCAAAGTTTTTAAGAGAAAGATTAAATAAAAGGGAAAACAAGAAAAGATCAGTCTACATAGAGTTTATTCCATTGTGGATCTTGTTTTATTAAGGAACATGTACTATTATATATGTGATCCCAAGGGCATATAAGCTCCATATTGATTTTTCTTTTGTTCATATTTTGCTCTCATCAGTTTTTGGCCAGTCTCCATTTGATGGACTACAGTCTCATTGTCGGAATCCATGATTGTGAGCGTGCAGAACGAGAGGCAATTGAAGCTCTGGTCCAGGAGGAAGCAGGAGAAGGCGAAGAGGATGAAAATGACACGGAAAATGGAATTTTAGAGGATGACGAGTATGATTATGGAGGTGTGCCAACTCCACCGGATAGTCCCCAACCTCTGGCCATACCCCCATTTGTAGGAGAACTTGACAGTAACTTGGAAAGATTTGGTATCAAAAGTAGTGAGGGTGAGTCAATTTCTATGTATTTTAACTTGATCTACAGCAAGTGAAAGGTCAGAAAAAAAAATGAAAACATTTCAAAGACACTTTTGAAAGTTTTTAAAATGTTTTATGCTGTGTGAAACAATTTCTCAGATCCCAAGGAAGTTTTGTGAAAATCTTAAAGAGAATCCATCTTAAATAATGGTAAATCTTGTTTCATGATTATGTTATATACACATACAAAAATGTAAGAACATATTCACTGTTGCCTTACAGATCTGCTCTTATAGACACAGTAGAGCCTGAATCATGACATACTAGACACAGCAGAGCCTGAATCATGACATACTAGACACAGTAGAGCCTGAATCATGACGTACTAGATACAGTAGAGCCTGAATCATGACATACTAGACACAGTAGAGCCTGAATCATGACATACTAGACACAGTAGAGCCTGAATCATGACATACTAGACACAGTAGAGCCTGAATCATGACGTACTAGACACAGTAGAGCCTGAATCATGACATACTAGACACAGTAGAGCCTGAATCATGACATACTAGACACAGTAGAGCCTGAATCATGACATACTAGACACAGTAGAGCCTGAATCATGACATACTAGACACAGTAGAGCCTGAATCATGACATACTAGACACAGTAGAGCCTGAATCATGACATACTAGACACAGTAGAGCCTGAATCATGACATACTAGACACAGTAGAGCCTGAATCATGACATACTAGACACAGTAGAGCCTGAATCATGACATACTAGACACAGTAGAGCCTGAATCATGACATACTAGACACAGTAGAGCCTGAATCATGACATACTAGACACAGTAGAGCCTGAATCATGACATACTAGACACAGTAGAGCCTGAATCATGACATACTAGACACAGTAGAGCCTGAATCATGACATACTAGACACAGTAGAGCCTGAATCATGACGTACTAGACACAGTAGAGCCTGAATCATGACGTACTAGACACAGTAGAGCCTGAATCATGACGTACTACCTAGAACAGATGTCTTGTGCAGATCTGGTATGAAGTCTGATGGCTTGTCTAAAACAAAGTGAAAAACTCCAGTTGTTATTACCACAGTGATTTTTTTTCCCATTAAAAGATATTTGTTTTAATATGCAAATCAGTAATGTATCAACAGGGAAGCGTCTGGGTTAGGGGAGGTTACATGGGGCTGGCAAAGAGGATTTGATATCAAGGATGATATCCCACCAGACATACACATAGATATATTTGTAAGGTATAAGGGATAGAGTCAATACCATGGCTTATCTTGGGATAGATCCAGGTATGTTATACACATCGGCTGGATACTGGAAGGGATGCAGGGCGGTTGTGTTGTAATTATTATCAATCCTAGGTACAACAACCACGACAGCTTCTGAGTTACAGTTCTTCAGTTTGTTACTTTTGTCAGCATGTTTTGCCTTGAGGAAGCCCAAACAGGATGAAACATGTTGATGAGTTGATGAATTGAAAAACTCAATCTTGGAAGCTGAAACCTCAAACTGTTGTGGTTGTTTTACCTTGGATAGATGCATATAAGTATTAAATACATGACATTTCAATGAATCACCGTTCGAGTGTGTAAAGTGATTATTTTTTTTATATTTTAATCTTTTTTCTTCATAGATGCACCGAAGAAGGAGATATACTTTTTAGCAATGATAGACATTTTGACTAAGTATGGGGTAAAGAAGAGGACTGCTCAGGCTGCAAAGACCATGAAACATGGAGCTGGCGCAGAAATCTCAACAGTAAAACCAGAACAATACGCAAAGCGATTTCTTGACTTTATCTGCAAGTGTCTAGAGTGAAAACCCTTTTGCATGAGAAGATAACTTACACCTGAAGAAGAAAATTATTTCCAAATAAGGAATTAATCCCTTATGAAGACACTATTCCTAGAGACAAATAATGATTTCCATATAAGGAGTATATCCTAGCAGTTATTCCCTGAGAAGAAGATTCTCTTATTGAAGCCAGGACCACGTTTTTAATAGTTTTTAACCACTGTATAGAAAGTTGGTACATTTTTTTGTTTTGAAATGCAGTTTGGTAACATGATTGGTGGTCTGATTTATCTGACATTAAAGATTTTTTGCTCATTCTTTTATACATTTGATGTCAAGAAAGACTCATTATCAAACATATTGAAATTTGGCCAGAATTCCATATCCTTAATAGAAAATTATTGTTAAATTGTTTTGAAAATCTCTGATCAAATATTGGTTTCAGTACTTTTCCGGATCAATATTTGAATTTATGTTTGATTTTGTATTGGATCAAAAGTTCAATCTATGAACTTATATCTTTGTGCTTAATCTGTTGTTGATTAACTTCATCATCATTTTATTGTTATTGTCCATCAACATGTGAAGAAAGTCACTCTACTTAGGGCAGGTCCTTTGAAATCTTATCACCCCCCAAATTTGTGGGTAGAACTGTTGTGAAATCAGCATCGTTGGATGGAAAGTATTCCCAATATATAGTTAAAGTGGTTTACATGCTTGAGTATCATCCCCTGGACTATTGGACAAATTAGAAAAAAAAAAAGATTTTCTCTGAAATAGCCAGGAGAGTGACTCGGCCTTTGACATCATGTATAATTGCTTTACAGTGTTAATAATCTCTCTGGGCATCAGTGTAGTAAAGTATTGATATATATTGTTGATATAAGCCACATGTAACGACTATGGTCTCAATATTCAGTATTTCATTTGAATGTGTTCTTGATTCTTGTATCAAAAGTAGGTGGAATTAATTATAAGGTTTTTTTTTATCCACCAGACAGCTTTCTATAGGTCACTGGCATTGTTAACATAGTACAACAGGTTTTTTTCCCCCCACATCATCATTTCAACTCCTACTTAAATGAAACTATATGTAATTATTGTTTGTTTTATTCCATAAACATATATTTGACCAGATTTATATATGAACTCATGCCTAAACTCATAATTTTTAACTGCGCTTAATACAGGTGTATACCATTTTCTATGTAATGAATGTGCTGTTTTAAGAAACAATTACAATCAACATAGCTAATTGAAATAATATTCAGTAACTTGACATGTTTTGATATGAAAGTTCCAGTTCCAAGTTATTAATGGTAAACTTGTTCATGAAACTTGTGGTATTAACTAGCTGTTATCTTTAGTCAATCTCATTAGATGATGATTTGAGTTAAGCCTGGAAAAGAATTGAAAATAATAGCTCCCCAATCAGTTAATCTGTGTGCCTAGACCAACTATATTCACGCTTGCAGAATAACCTGATTCACTGTCTCTTGAATTAGACAAAAGCAAGTCCAGATGTTTAATATAAAGAAAATATTGCTAAAAATTGCTCACTATCACCAAGGGAAGTAACTCTCGTCACACAACAAATTAACAAAGGAAACTTTTGAATTATCTTGTTGATGTTCATTATTCTATTACAATTTGTTGGCACATTATTTTGTCCTCCTGGGAAATAACTTACCCATATTAAGAAAATTTGCAATCTTTTGGAATTTTATTTGTGTAACAGGTACAGTAAATAACCTCAGAATAATCTACTAGGGTTTACAGAGAATTTCAAGTAAAGAACTTTTTTTTCAGAAATGCTGATTACTGATTTCAAAAATAAGAAAAAAATGTGCAAGAGATTATTATGTGGCGGGTGTTGTCAATGAAGCAGTAGATGATTATTCTTTCTAAACACCTTGTTCTATTCTCCTTGTACTTTCTCAGGAGTCTCCAGGTAATTTTTCGAATACCGTAAATTTGCAGGTATAGTGCGCACTCGGGTATAGTGCACAGGTACTTTTTTGGGGTCAGATTTAAAAAAAAAAAAAAAAGGTTTTCTACAGAAAGATTAATTGATTACTGGTTACCACGATGAAACAGTTGATGTGGTTTGATCCATTGATAATTAGGAAACCACAAACATCGTGACCCTAACATATTTAAACAACTTATGTAAACAAATTCACACAGGTGACAATTGTGATCTTAAAAAAATGTTTTTCATGAAAAGTTGGTATGTGAGATTTGACATTGCCAGTCTGCTGTCAGTGATGCAAGAATCCAAAACTCCTGTAAGGCTATATACTTGTTACAGTCTTGTAGCAGTGTTATACATTTTAATAATCAGTGATGTAGCTACACTTTACATGGTAAGCTTTGTAGCTAGTGTGTATGATAGGTGAGAAAGTGCTTTGGAATCAAAATAATAGTACAGTGTAACTAGAACGCTTTTTTAGTGCTTATTGGTTATATAAACATTAAGTTAAAATCAATTCAAGATGATTTGTCGATGTTTAATATTCATTGATAATATTGTGAACTATAAGCGTTGGCAGAATTGATACGCTCATAATAAAACAATGCTTAATGTTAATATTGAAATGTTTGCTCTCTTTATCAGAAAAGGACAGATTTGACACCAGACATAGCCAGTGGTGTTTTATTGTGAATACAACTAGGCAAGCTGGTAGATAGGTTTCCTTGGCAACAAAAGTATAAAAAAAATTGTACCTCACCTGAACAATGCCTTAAAAAGGTGTCTGTTAGCTATCGGTTAAAGCCTTTGAATCAGTCAAAAAATATCTATTGTGTTGCAATCAGACTAAAACTTTGAATGCTAGATGAACCATTATGCCCAGGGTTAGAGTGTGAGCTGAATATTTCAAAATCGTCTTATTCATTTCCATTAAGGCCAGTTTCTTGAGTGTTCACATGATATTTAAAAATCTTTCTCAGTTCTATTAGACCAATCTGAAGTGCCACCTGAATATAGATAAATCCTCTTATTCAGTTCTATTAGGTCCAGAGTCAGAAGTGCTAGATATTATAAAATCTTATTCACTTTCATTGGACACAGATCCTTTATTAAGTAACAGCTGTGTATTTCAGAATCTTATTAAGTTAATTAGACCAAGGGTCTTGAGTGCCAGATGAATATTCAGACTCTTCTTATTCAGTTTCATTAGGTCCAGGGTCCTAATTGAGTGCTAGCAGAATGATTAGACCTAGGGTCACTTTAGCGCTATGTGAATGATTAGACCTAGGGTCACTTTAGCGCTATGTGAATGATTAGACCTAGGGTCTCTTTAGTGCTAGCTGAATGATTAGACCTAGGGTCTCTTTAGTGCTAGCTGAATATTACCAAAATCTTCTTGTGGTTTATTAGGCCAAGGGTCTTGAGTGCTAGCTGAATATTTCAAAATCTTCTTATTCAGTTGCATTAAGCCTAGGGTCACTAGACTGATCGATGGATGTTCCAAATCTTATTGAGCGCTATGTTCCGAACTAAGTGCTAACTAAATATTTCAAAATCTTCTTATTCATTTTCATTATTCGCAAGGCTGTGATATTTGGTCAGTAGATGACTAGAATAGAGTTTTATGAATTTCCATGAAATATGAATTGTTTGGTCTGTTTGAGTGATATTTACTAAACCTCCTTACTTAAAGGATGAGTTAAGCAGTAGACAACTTAAATGACCTTGACTTACAAGATTGCAGAAATCCTTGGCACACCACTTGGAAATGACGTTTGGAGATATTCATTGTGTCATGTACATGCTAGCCTCAGGGAATTTATAAGGTAATTCTTAAAGTGGGAACTTGGCTAAACATAGATTTCATTGTTCTTGAAGAAAAAAAAAATTACAATGTTTTCTTGACCTGGGGATCTAGCCCCATCTGTGGAGAATCTGATTTTGGTCATAGCATGAAAACTAGCACTATTCCTCTTCTTAAGGTAGGATTCAACCCACATCGTAAGGAAGTTTTCATAAAGTATATTGAGATTGGCTCAGTAAGGAGTGACATATATTACTTTTTCAACTTTAGGAAGAATTCCTTGCCACGGATGCTGAAGTATCCAGGTGAACATGTTATTACACTATCTGCCAATGTGATTTGTTAAAGAGAGTTTATAAATCATGAAATATATGTATGTGTAAGTATATAGATATGTATGTATGTAAGTATATCAAAGTTAATCCAATATATATATGAGTCATGCTACAGAACTAAATATTGTTTAGTGTCTCAGTAAAATTGCTTCTGTTTTAAAGATACTTGTTTGTATATAAAGTATATCAAATCTGTGTACAACACATACTCACGGCAATTGTATCAGAAATCAAATCATGGCATTAACATGAAGATTATCGGATACGAACATGAACATTTTGAATGTTATTATCAAATTTGTCAAGTGATTCAATATAGAGGATAAGAACTTTAAGAAATTCCTTAAAATGTAATATTTTTGTGTAATGGTAACAATTTTTTTAATTTCTCATTTATAAGCGAAGTTTCTGAACAACACTGTACAATACTCAATGATTATTTTTGTTGACAAAATCAGTGGAAGGATCCTGTGTATAATATTATTATCAAGATGTGATTTGTTTCAATTTTTAAGTGATATATTGAATTACTTTAACAGGAGCCATTACAATTCTCCTTCAAACATACCATTGTAAAAAAAACAAGAGGCCCAATGTTCCTGAGTTGATCACCTTTATAGTTTTAAAGAACATGGTAGCTTAAATTCAGAAAAATTTTGTAAGTGTTAGTGAAGATGGTCCCAAGAGTTAAACGTAGTCCATGGTGGTAAAGCTGGACCAAGGGGTCAGATATAGTTCATTATGGTGTCACTGACCCTGGGGTTAAACTTAGTCCATGATGATGAAGATGGACCAAGGGGTCAGATATGGTCCATTATGGTGTCACTGACCCAGGTATTAAACTTAGTTCATGGTGGTGAAGCTGGACCAAGGGGTCAGATATAGTCCATGATAGTGAGGTTTGACCAAAGGGCCAAACTAAGTACATGGTTTATTTCTGAAATAGCTGGGAAAGAGACCTTTAACATCATATGTAATTGCACCATGCGGTTGAAACATTGCTTTCCTGTTGCAAGTCTTATTTTTTTGGTTTGAGACAAAATTTTTCTAGTATAAGGTATCCATTTATTTTAGTTTGAACCACATAGAAGTGATTTGATATGTACTCTCATGCTGTCTTTTTGTTGGGCATTACAAATGTACTCGTTAGTGTAGGAAATACATAGCAATTGATTGAACTATTAGATAGTGACTTGTTTATGCTACGTCGTGGTGTAAGCTATCTGTTTCAGAATAAAAGATGTGTTTGAACTAGCATTCCCAAGAGAAAAAGACAGATTTCACTTTTCTCTATCAAAAATTGAAATGCAATGTTATGGATATCATAGTACCCAATGAATATTTCTTAAGTTTCAAAACATTTAGCAAGTCCTGTATGTGTTTGGCATTTTGAAATTATGCTTTCAGGCTGAAATCTCCACATCATCCTTTGTAGGTGATGTAAATGAAATATTCCATTAGTCTCTTCATGTTCAGTGAAAGTATATGTAGAGTAGAGAATTCTGAGAACTCTCTATGGGAATAAGATGATGGATTAATTCTGGCCCCATGGACCTGACAGTTTGGATGTGTATAGATTGGTGATGGGTTCAAATCACTGATTTATAGGTTAGCCTGGTAAACCACAGACTAAGGCCGGACTCCAGGGTCATTATTCTGGTTAAGGAATTAGCTTCTCTAGGTGAAGATTTTTGCTATATACTGCTATCAAATCATTAATATCTATTGAATCATGTTGTCAAATTAATTGCCTTTTTATTAAGTCAATCAGTTTGTTAAATACCTTAACAACTAGTGTTGATTGTCCATTTCTGTTCCTTATAGTATTAACATTGACTGTTTGTTTACAGGTGAATGTGTTTGTAGACTTTCAATGTAAATATTAAATAGTCTTACAATCCAGGTAAATTTTGATTGATTTTGTAGTTTTACCTATTGACCAGACAAAATGTGTCACTGTCTGTGTGTTTACACTCTTTCAACCTGCCAACTTTAAAATACCTTTGTCATTGTGTGTCTGGCGTCATGATTAAAAAAAGATATGCTCTCAGTAACCAAGATGTACAAGGTGTCAATGTTTGAGTAGTATAATGGTAGGGATATGTCAACTTTGTTCCTTTGATCAAATGTGACCCCATTTCTAGGTCACACACATTAAAATTTGTTAAAACCATTGAAAGATTTTGGAATTTCCAGGAACAAACAGAGCATAACAGTTCTTTTTTTAAATGAGTGATTTGTTTTCTCTAAAATACTTAGTACTTAATATGTTGAAACTCTTTCAAAGGTCACCTGTACAACTAGGTATTAACTCTATTTTAAGGTCAGAAAGATCAGATTTGCGGAAAAAAAAGTAGCATATTAAGAAGTTTTATCAAGTTTGTTCAAATTCATAACTTTGACATCTTTTCAAGGTCACAAAGGACAAGTCCTGTTTTATTTTACAAATGACCTTGAAGCCTTTAGTGGTATACATTGTAAATGGCTTGTGGTCTGTTTAAGTGTATGAAGAAATGAAACAATTTCTTCAAGGTCGTTTTGCTGTAAAATGATGAGATAATGCTTGTAATTGTGATGAAAGACGTATGAAGAGGAAGAATAATGATAGTGTAGAGTTCATGCTTGTTTGCTATCAAGCTTCTCGTAGACCTTGACTCACTTTAAAGGTCATTAATGTGAGGGATGTGCATTGTATACAAAATAATGTACATTGTAGTAGGTCATCGATTCAGGCCCACTGAACCTCTTGTTTAAAATATGGTGATCTGACCTGGAAGCTAACTCGTTATTTTATACCAGTGTCAGTGATTTAAGTGAAATTGTAGTTATAATTTGAAGAAAAAAGATTTACAAATTATATTTAACATTAGATCCTTAGTATACAAAATAACTAACCAGTATTTATGGAAAGGTAGAAGATTTACGTGTTCAATGTAGAAGTTTTATGTTTTGTCTTCCCTGGCTGAAAAGGCCAAGCAAGCTTATATATTGGTGTATCGTCCATTGTCTGTCCGCTTGAAAAAACATCTCAATCTACTGATTCATCTTAATCTGTATGAAATGAGTGGTTATAAAGTTCATTTGATTACGGCTTACACCATTTGTTCTCTCAAACAATTATTGTCATTATTACAGAAGATAAAGACAATTAATCTTATATTCGAACCTATACTTTCTTTGAGTAACTATTTGGTTGTTCAACTAAATGACCTAGAATTACTTTTAAAGTAATTTTGAGAAAAAAAAATTCAAACTTTGAAACACAAATTCCTGTATGTAATGAAATGAGATGGAAGTGTACATTTGGACTAATTATTTGGCACTGAATACCAGCAGAGCGGTTTGGGTTGTTGGTCCTCTAGTTTAATTCATATTTTTATCAGTTCTTAAGACAATTTTGTTGGAGAAAGGTATAGAAAATTATTGAAATGTCGTATTCCTTAAGTAAAACAGAAATGCACCTATATCTTTTGTTTATTAGATAGCAATGACAAAGTCATCTAGTGTTTAATTATTCATGAAACCATTTTGGAATAATGTTGATGGCAAACATCCTTAAATTCCCATTAAAGTTTGATTTCTGAATGTTCTAGGGTCCAACCAAATTTCACGATTCTTACCTCATTGTTCATTTCACTTGCCAAGTTGTTCTCAGAAAGCACAAAATCTAATAAAAATAAATCACATTTGAAGCAAATTGTCTGTTTCTGATGAAACCTCAGCTTTGCACACGTCAATTACGAAAATGTTGGAGGAGAAATGGTGTTTGCATATTTGATTTATTCAAAACATTTCCCTCCAAGTTTTGTGCTTGAATGGTTTTTGAATCTGGATAGATCTTTCTCAAACTTTTTGTAAGCGACCTGTTGCGTTTGGAATGATGTTGGTTTTTTAAATCACTCCCGAGAACAACATGATTGATGACAGTCATCTTGGATTTGACAGTGAAAAGTTTCCCTTGGATACCATGAGAGGGTTCTTTATTGATTGTCAGGAAGCCATCTTTGACAAAGTAATGATTCTTGTGCAGACTGCCTTGGTGCTCAGGTGTGTATGATGACTGATAAAAAAAACCTGACGAACAAGCAGCCGTCTTTAATTATGATATTTGAAGAATACTATCACCATCAAATAGCATTTTTTTGGTTCACAGATTTTCAAACTAAATTTCGATTATGATTATGTTGGTGTTTTCCGGTATTCGAGAAGAATCGGGAAACAACAAGGCGTTGAAGTCTATTTTTAGGAGCTGTTTTAAAACTCTTCAGAAGATTAAAGTTATGATCTACAGATATCGGAAACCTGGGAGTATGAAATAAAAAAATATGCGTTGATTAGCAAAATGTTTGAGAACTATGCTGAGACGAATTTCGTGAAATTGAGAATAAAATTGCGGGGATCAAGAGATTTTGGATCTAATAGATTATTGGCATACCAAAGGTAACTTTGTTGCTTTCCTGACTGATTTGTTTTGGTTTTCATACATGGTTGTATTTATCGAAGAGCTGACCAATATCGGTAACAAAGGTTAACTAAATTTTCAAAAAATTACCAGTCAGAACCAATCTAGGATCATTCCAGGCACGTTTCAGCTTAATACCACACGATCTTGAGAGGATGTGAAGTTTAAACGCGATACTGACGACAAATCAGTAATTTTCTTCGGGGATTTATTTTTCTTTGATTTCGGTGAAAAGCATGAAAAACAGTATTGAAAACATATATCAATCGGATGATTTGCATGTTACAGGTGACAAAAACAAGACAATACCAATATGGTGCATTATCATAATCCAAACTCAGATTAAACTAGGGCAAAATATGAACAAAGGAACAATTTAAACGGAGTCTTCGGAAAAAAGTACAGGGTGAATAAGACCAGGTGTTTCGGAATAGTAAGCGTCTTTTGCTTCGTCGTGGACGACAGCCGCCATATAAACCTTGGTCAATCCAAGTAAGTAATGTCACGTTCTCAAGTGAGAACAAGACATAGAACAATGGAAACAAGAGACAAAGTAACAAGCATCAAACACATTCAGCTTCATATCGCACTAAGATAGTATTTCTCAATGAGAACTGTGACTATCGTAAAACTTCCCTACAATTTGTATCAACCTGCGTCATTTCAAACCATGTATTCATCCGTTTATCCGTCAGCTGACGACTTCATTCACGAAAAACGTGATAATGGGAACAGGTCCTTAAATATCGAATCAACTGCGACATGTTAACACAATAGGTTGGGAACGTTGCTATCAGGAATTGAAAAATTCACATTAGGAAAATTGAAATCATCACGCTTATCCTACAGTTTGGTGGAAAGCTGTTCATGTTGGTGTCGTTGTAGGAAAAGATCGAGATAAGTGACTGATGTGAAAGAGTCTGTCGTGGCTTTGATGTCCAATTATGATTGGTATATACGATGAAAACAATCTAAAAATATCTTGTTATTTATAGACAAGACGTCATTGATATAACTGAAAGTAGACTTTGCAATGTCTTTGTAACTTGTTTTGATGAGATCTTGGATGAATTTATCCTCGTATGAAAAAAAATCAAGTCAACCAGCAGAGCTAACGTTTGTAGTTAAAAAGTAAGGATGAAATGGTCTTTGAGTAACTGTAGCAAATTTCCGGGCTTATTTCTGCTTTGAAAATATAGTGGAATACTTTTGGTGTAAAAAGTTGCTGATGCTTATAGCATCCTCTATATTTTTGCAAAGTCAGCTTTCATAAAATTGCGTAACATGTTATAGAATTTTGTTGACGTTACCACCAAGTTACAGCTGTTGTCCCCCTTTGCTTTATGTTCTCTTGTCTGGACGCCTTGGGACGCCTTGGTCCGTCTTGTCATGTAACGTCAAAATAACGCGGTCATATTTTAAACATCTTTTATTGGACTGCATTGACCTTCTGTCTACTCGAGAATGTTTTTAGCGTAACATTACATGTCTAGAAGCCTTTTTTAAAATGATAGACTATGACGTACCATTTTAATCTTTTGTGTTAATATACCCATTTAAGATGTTTAGCATTTGCCTTTTACCTTTTAGTTTCTTTAATGTTATCTCCTTTTGGATCGCTGTGTGTTTTACCGATTAATGGCTCTAATGACATTTTATGTGTTGACGGGCCGTTAAGAATGCAATAATAATAATAATAATAATAATAATAACAGTAATTTAATGAATAATGAACGATGGGATACAATGTGATAACGTATATTTATGGTGAGTGAACTTAACACGTCCATCTATTTTGATACTACTTGCAGTTATCACCTGAAAACCTCCAGATATAAAGGACGTGGCATCTTTTTAAAACTCCACCGGTAATTTTTGATTTCATGAACGAGATTCACTGGTCATTTAAATTTACTGCAGGGGTCTCGGAAGAATTATTTTGGATGATTTCTCCACATTCTTTGAGAAACCAGAAAATATCATACAAACTGCCCCAAATGACGATGTTTCAGTTCGACCCCTCCTGTAACTGCTGCAGCAACCAAGCTGTTCGGGACTTGAAACCAGAGGAAACAATCACGACGTCGGTAGTCAACTTCAATTCAATGTACCGCGATTGGTGGTTATTACTGCAAAGACATTTTAATGATATCATAACATAAAACAACAGGATGTCTGTTCATAAACATATTTTAATGAGTATATTGTGGAATGACTTAGATAATGGAAACACACGCCTTTCAATACATTGAAATCTAGCTTTGATGATGGCAATTGGTTATATGCACAATACACTCGCCTTCGTATAAATAGAACGTGTCTGATGACTGGTAATGTAAACATTTCAAATATATTTCATTTACAATGATTTCCAATTTATTTCATATTTCTGAAGATTATGGGTGTTTACTTTTTGGGCCTATCGCCCTGTGAATTGCCAAAGATCATTTCGAGGTGGGTCTCCTGGTAGTAATTGGTGGTTATCTTACTAAACAAAATACGGGAGATCCGTTGCATGCCATCCAGAGCAATTACGAAAAGCGTCTTGCCTAAAGACGCAACCACAACAGCACATAACGGTTAGTTTCTAACTTTTGATAATTTATGAGTTTTTTTAAGGAATAATATGTGTGTAAATGTTCTATAGATTAATAATCAGAACATGGTTGTTATAACCAGTACCGTAAAATGGTAATATTTCATAAGATTATGCTGAGTGACGGAATTGCTTAAGAGGATATTTGGTACTTGAAAAAATAGGGGCAAACTACAGTACTGCACATAACGAGAAATTTGAAATCATTTCGTTATATATTATTGGTTAATGACAATACTCCAAATAAGGTCTCTGTAAAACGTTATACATGTATAAATATGAAATATATACAAAAATTTCAGACAGCCAAGATTAATTGCAGTACTTTCAAACAATTGACTTCTTAAAATACAAACTCCACATGGCGTTAGGAAAGTTCAAATAGCTTCCTGTGATATAACTTTATATTCGTTGAGGACACTAACACGAACAAAAGTGTGTATTACTGTAGAAATTGATTCAAGTGAATACGATTCCTGGATAAACTGTATATTTGGAAAAAAATCTGATTCAAGAACGATATAACGTCAATTTTAAACGTTCAAAAGATGTACATACATAATATTTTTGTAACAAAATTTTAACATGTCCACTGTCTTACACGCACACAATGCAAACTTGATTCAATATTTACGTTTTAATTCTATCACCCACAAATGAAGAATATTTGACGTATGGTACAAAGATCACGAGAATAAGCTATAAATGTATGGCTTGGGAAGTCTAAGGAAATCTATTTACATATTAATGTCATTGACCAGAATAAGATAAAGACGATAATGATGATACTGATGTGATGTCATGAACCTAATAAAAGTATATAATATATTATACAATATTGTGAATAATATGATATCATAAGCGCACTATTGAACAACATAAATGTCAATTTTGGTGTTTTTAATTGGCCGAAGAGAAAAGTCAGTATGAAAACCCACTTCATTTTGCCATTTTAGCGCGAAACAACCACAATACAAATTAAAACAAAGTGTTACATTTACCAAAACATCACGGTATGGTAAATAATGTGCACTGTTGAGAGACTAGACCAAAAAATATAACGACGAAGTATTAAAATTAAATTGGTTATTTACAAAATATCATAATTTTATATCTAAATGATATCTAGAGCATTTGTTTAATCATAAAATACGATAGTTTCCAATAGATTATTTTGATTAAAAGATATCACTTCGGAGAAACAAATTAATTGAACGCAAACTATTCTAACTTATGAAGTACATCAAATTGTAACGAACAGATAAATCACAATATTAAAGAATCACAATTCACAATGACAGAATACAGAATGCTATGATATAGGAGTTGAATACTTGCACTATATATATATATGTATATTCTGATGTGTATTCTTTTTGCTGAAACTGAATAGTATAAGACGTAATTAAAACCGATACAATGAATCATAACAAGATCGGCCCATCGTTTGTGACGTCATATATTCCACAGAAAGCAGAAGACGTTTTGAGACTAATGGAGATTTGGTGTTAGTAACTTAAATTGAAAACATATTGATAGCTTATTTTCGATTTAACTAGAAACCGAATTTTGTGTATTTCTTAAGTTATTTTTTCTAACCAGCAATCGACAAATATTTACTCTGAAATTAGAAACGTGACGTTATTGGAAAATTTTCTGTTTCAATGTGCGTTTCGAGTGTGACGCACTTGTTTCGGTAGGTCAGACTGACATGAAATCTATAATATCATTTTCTCTTTTTTTGTGAAAAATGAACATTATATTACCATTTCTACAAATGGAGTCACAGTGCTGATACAAAGGAAGGGAAATTAAACGACAATCTCAGTACAATCCCCACGATTTATATGTGTCTTTACCCTTTACCGCTGTGGAGGATAAGATGACTAACGAATATTAGCCCTATAACAGTCATACATTGCTGATCAGTGTATTTTTTCGCATTTAAACATGAATTTTCTTACATTACAAAGTCTTTGTATGAAAAGTGTTGAAACATTAAAAACATCAAATCCGAGACTCACTTTTCTCGACGAAGTATGAACAAATTCCTAATAAAACACAATAACATCACTACTATAGATGTTCAATTCCAATTAAGACCATGCCTCGTCAATACCCGAAACCAGTTATACCATTACAACAATACCATCTCCTAAAGACGGGTACTTGTTTCAGTCAGACACCGACAGAAATCAGGTAGGAACGGATTTGATTCATCGACGATAGTATGTGGTCCGTCGGCGTGTATCGAGCTTGAAGAACACACTGGATAAAACTCTGATTTCTGTATCAGCTTTGAATTAAAGCCCTTCAATTCTGATAGAAGATAACATGTCGGTCCAACACTTCATTACATGGTTAATGGTACTCATTCTGGAGGAGGTGGTTTTTGAAACATAACAGCGCATGTGATCACAAGTGTGGCCAGGACAAACGCTGACAAAAGAATGCGATCCACAACCTGCGCCACTTGTTGCCACTCCATTTTGATGATGTCTTTCCGATCCTGAGTGACAAGCCTCAATTCATTTGTCTCAATTGTTTGATACACTTTTTGTAACACTTTATGAAAATGTGTCTCAAATGATTCGATGGTGGCTGTTGCTGTGGGCCTGCCGGAACTACATTGCGCGGAAGGATTTGACAGTCTCGACGGTAAAGGAGGTATAGGAGGTACGTTTGGTATGGTCCCGTTGCTTTGTTTACCATCGTTGTGGGCATGTATGTCCACGTTCTTTTTTGGCGCCTGATCGGATAGCCCTTGATAACCCTGCAAAGAGAAAAAGTTGATATTTATTGTAAAAAATTGAAAGTTTCACGTCTTATAATCTTATCTTCATCTCATTTGATTAAAATGATTAGATGATTAAAAGTGTCTTGACATGTGTAAGCGAGAAATTCTATACTTCCAACAAAATTTTGAATGGAACATTTTCACAATGTCAGGTTTGTCTTTTCATACACCGGTATGATATTGGATAAATATTGTGATCAACACACAAGCTGCCTCGTGAGAAAGGTTAAAACAATCAGACCAGAGGTGGACGGTGAATATCCTGATCGGGAGGAGGTCTGTATGTCTGTCTGCTGGTCTGGTCAGATTCACTTGTCAGGCGACACTTATGTCGGAACAATTCTGGCTGATCTGGAAACATCCTGTTAATAAGAATAAACAGTATTTTCACCATATATATCAATATGCATGTTACGAAATGTGGCACGGTTCAGAATATACGCACGTACTTGACGTACTTCTGAAATCATCATATATTTGAAACTAGCGCACCTGCCAATCACCTTGTATTTCATTTGGCCTATTATTAGTTTTCTCGGACGCCTTCTAGATTTAAACGTTTAAGCCCTCAACGTCACTTAGAATTCTTAGAAAGACGAAACAGCTAAATGCTATAGTTGAAATCATTGTTTGGCTATACTCTGCCAGATTCTAAATATATATTGAAAAGTGTTATTCACTTGTATGTCTTTTCCACAATCTAAAATTCGATAGGAACCAGAGACTTTTTATACATCATTTGACGGAGGCTATTACCTGTTAGAGGAGTGTATTGTCATGTCCGGAGGCTCGGACGTCAGTCGGTATGTCGGCCGGGTGTGATCTGACTCGCTGTTCATCTTGTATGGTATATAAGATGTACTGTTACCAGGGTAATCCGTGGGAGTAAACTAAACAAAAAATTATTATTACAGAATATACAGCTCTGGTGACGAATAGCAAAGTGCTATATCATCTCATCCAGTACAACATACTATAGAGGTACATGTAAAAATTTTGCACAGTAATCTAGCATATTTTACAAGTAAGCAAAGTGTCCTAATCTGTAACAGAAAGCACACGCAAGCTTTCACTTGCACATTCATGATTTCATCCGATTCTTGAAGTTCCACATTTATAATTTCATCCAATTCGTGAGCCCCAAAATGGATAAGATGAAACATATAGATAAGCGGCCAGTTATCTTTTCCTGAAACACGTCGATGAATATATCTGTATATTTACTGATAAGTAGGCATTTTAATGCAATGTATTCCTATATTACAGAGATGTGAATAAAAATATTTCAGGAGCGTGTTCGTTGACTTGTGTCTGTAGTTTAAATAACAATGGTTTCCTTTACGGAGTCTTAAGCTCTATTCCCCAAAGAAACTGGTAGTTTTTGCAGCGCATGGTTTGACCCTAAATAGTCCTTTTAAACAAAAATTTTAACAACAACAACAACAACAACAACAACAACAACAACAACAACAACAACAGCAGCAACAACAACAACAACAACAACAAAAACAAAACAAAACAACAACAACAACAACAACAACAACAACCTAACTGCGTTTTCAGTTGAACAGTCATTTGCTTTCATTAAGTACGTTTTAAACACAAAATATTTTCTTCGAAAATAACTTATGTACAATATTGTTCAGATTTTAAGTCATAAAATGGAAACGTGGACATTTTCTAACGGAAAAGAGGGAAACGATTATGTCTGACGACACTAGAGCAAACTATGCAATATTCATTGACAAAATGTGACGAGATCTCCATGTATGTTAATGACACATACTACAAAAAAGAAGGAAAAAAATGCTGAACGCAGGCTCTGAAGAATCCCCCCTCTCCCGCATAAAATTTCCGAATCATTATCAAATTCCATTTTGATACAGCATACAAAGTGTATGTTGAATATTTCTATTTTTCTTACAGGAAGTGTAACTGAACGTAATTTTCGTGTCTTTCTCTTTCCAACCACAACCTCTAGCTGTTTTCATGGGCTATTTCTTCATGCACATCATTTATGTAAATGACGATGTCCATGTGGTCATAGCTTACGCTCTTTCCCACCTTGACGAAGAAACTTGTCCTAGATCAGCCGTACACCAGGAGAGTTTTCTGGAAAGGTGTAGCCTGATTATAAAGCGTTACGAGAATGGATAATTTCCTGTTTCTGCCAATTTTGCAATGTCTAATCTTCAATGTTTTCCCTTAGTAACATATAGCCGTGTACTTACTATTTTCCCCTTTCTGTCGACATCGTTGTACTCAAGACGCATACAAAACAGTTTAGCAAATACGCCGAAAAATATCTTCTTCATGGTTTTCGGGACCTCTCGTCCTCGATGGCCCTTATGGTGTATATTCAATGTAAGCACTGTCATACCAGTTGCCGTAGATACAATGAAAATTGTGATACCATAGTAAATCCCTACAACAGATTTTGTAAAAAAAAAATTTAAAAAAAAGGAAAAATTACCACATTTTCATGATTTATAATTTTGTATTAAAACATAGAAACTAAACGTTTTATTGATATCGTAATTTGATAATCTCGCGAGATATCATTGCTCTCTTGAGTGCCTGTTAAAACCCTTTTTTGAATACAGTATATATCAATATCTTTCATTCAGTAGAACATGTGTGCTTTTTTTACAGGCTGAAAATCGTAAAAATGAAATAAATCACCCATTCGAAAAGTATTGAGCTGACACAGAAACACATTTTGGCACTTAAGGGACGTCTAGTTGTCTGTCTTGCTATATCGTCAACTGACGTGGCTAGGTCACACCAGTGACTAAGATGCTTATAGCACAGTTATAACACATAATATTATTACTGGGCGTATTATATTGGTGAATATTATTATTGATCGTCAATATTTGACAGCAAGAAGACATCCTCGATATTCCAGGGGTTACAGGTGTAGAGAACGAAAGTGATTGTAACCCCTGAAACATATCGTGGCAAAATTGAAGGGATGAGCAAAGTAATTTGACTGTTGCAGGAGAAAACACTGACGACCAATCGCAGGCTGATACGCTCCTTTTGAAGTTACAGAGGCATTACACACATTTTCAAAGTCATTACAATATACTGTTGTACATCAAAGGATCAAACTAATCTTTCTGTCTTGTTCACACGGCGTCGCACATTGAATCGTCAGTTTTGCCATGACACGTTCCAGGGGTGCCGAGAGAGAAAGTGATCCTGGAGTATCGAGGACGGCAGGAAGACAAAGCATCTCTAACGAACATTTTCGTAAGACAAAACATGTTAAAATGACAAAAATGGCATTTCTTTCTATTTCGAGTGGGGAAATCAGTCGAGATATTGCATGGTGTAAAATACATTTTAATATTTCTATCATTTTGTATGTAAATAGATTACAAAAAGATTTGTTAAGCTTTAAGGCTCTTTGTTAATGGAGGATATGGATATCATTGCCGAAAATCACTCAAAAGTTCTCAAGCAAATTAATCTTAAGTTTTCTCAAGGTTTGTAAAAACTATGTTAGTGGAGCATCATGTCGCGTAGGTGAGGTTTTAAAAATGAAAAAAATGTGATGATATTTTTAACCGTTTTATGAATTTTCCTTGGGAAAAGTTTATGAGATACCTCTTGGGTATTGCACGTATTTGTTGTAGCTCTAGAAGTTTATGAGCACAGAACATGCCTTTCAATTTTTTTTATGTGCCTGCATTATCTAAAATAAAACTGTAATAAAACTTTCCATCATTGTAGCTTTGAATATTAACATGTTACAATACAAGTAGAACTGTTTGAAAACAATCAACGGTCGACGCAGCCGGCTAAAAGTTGAGAGAGAGTTTTTAGCAAATTATATACCTTAGTAGATATATTTGATATTGATATTTCATTTTACCAACTCACGTTAAAGAGTTGGATCCATGTAAACTGCAATTGAAGGCAAATATCATCCTTTTTTTTAAATACTGCTCTTATTTTAGATGTGGTTTTTGTGGTTTTAGGTTTTGCTATCAGCCACGGCCATTTAAGGACATAGCAAGTAGGGTGGTGAAGGAAAGCCGGAGCTCCCTTAGGAAAACCACCAACCTGCGGGCAATGTCTGGCAACTGCCCCGTGTAGACCTAGGGGTAGTAATAATGACAGCCTTAGCCAAAGTTAAAAGCATGCTGATTGGTTTTTTCATGAAAATCACGAAGCTGGCTACAATTTCTTAATTATTTTTATTTTTCGCAGTTTTCTTCTCGAAAACAACGAAAATAACAACATTTACAGTGTATAGTTAACCTCTGTGGTAACTAGAACCTCGCGTATATTTTTGCTGTAAGTGATAATAATTATAGGTGTTGGATACATACCTAATAATGGTAAGACATTGGACGTAGGAGGCATGTTCTCTGCAACCAACATCATGAATACCGTCATCGACAAGAGTGTCGTTATTCCCATGGTTACCTTCTCTCCAGAGTCGGACGGTACGTAAAAACCCAACAACGCCACAAGCGTGATGAGAATACATGGCATCACCATATTGAATATATAAAACAAGGGGCGGCGCCGGATGTGGATGTAGAAGGTTATATCCGGGTAGGGTTCGGTACAACACGAATAATACACAACTTTACGAGAAACATAAAGTCTTTGTAAATCCCACTCACTATTTTGTATATAGTTTGAAATGTCACCTTCATGAGTTATGAGAACCAGATTGACTTGAAATCCGTCGTACGTCCACGACGCGAATTGCATTGAACAGTTTTGCTCGTCAAAAGGAAAGTATCTAACATTGATGGAACAGGAGCTCTTAAAGATAACCATTGACAGCCATGTAATGTTTCCGTCGTTTGTGACGATGATATTGGAGCTGATTGATGAGAAATACGTCGACACGTCAGCGCTAAAAAAAGACAAAAGAACTGTAAGAATCAGTTTCCCATTGCATCGAACATAATGGATTTTGGTGCATTAATTGTTTACTTACATGGAAAACTTTTTATTTGCTGATCACAGATTTATTGCAATGTCTTATTTCAACAGCTAGGCACATTAATGAACTGACACACCAACATTGAATGTAATGAACAGAAGCGACAGTTACCGCAATTGTAAGGGAGAGCAAAGGTGAAGAGTGGAGATGATTTTAAAAAAAATCAACAAGAAGATACCAATATGTCAACAAAGATTACAATACAAAAACAAAATTCAATAAAACTAGGGCAAAATATCAACAAAAGAAAGATGTACACGGAGACTCATGAAAAAGTACAAGGATATGATCTGGTGTTCCGGAAGAGTAAGCGTCTTCTGCTTTGTTACCACTAGTATATCCACACTAATTTACAATAACTGTGTCAATGCTCACATGTTGATTCTTTATCTTAAACATTACAACTTATTAATATTGGTGTAAATTTTAGTCGTTTTCGTTTTATCTTTAGATAATTATAATATTTAATCATATATTAGATATTTACAACTGTGAACCCTCTCACACCAAATAATCTTTATTCAACTATCTTTCATTTACTTACACATGTGAAACAGATTACACCATGTATGAATTAATCATTTGTCAACTACTCTTACCTGTTTCAATGTTTCAAAAAGGTTTAGTCTACTGAAATTTGTTAAAATATTTGGACATGATAAAATATTTCAACGCTTTTCTTCGACGTAAATTTGATCAGAAATAATAAAACAGTTTTAATCTTTACAAATTTGATCTGTTTATAACCATTTGCATCCTACTTTCATCCTGATAGATTGTCCACGTCTAATCCTACCTCTAGTAGTTTTGGTTTCTTCACATGGATTCATATGGCCGATATAATCACGAAATTTTACGATTTTTTCGAAAAATATCAACATGTACAAATTAACTCTTTTAAACTAACACAACACTGACAACACTCCTCTTCCGAACTGTTTTAAGTTTTGTAATGTACAGAATATTTTTCACTTTGATTAGTACTAAGCGAGTGACTAAAGATTGAGTAACAATTTATAAGCACTTACTTATTGTAGAGGAAGATGTCGGGGCGCCATACACTGTCGTACGGGATACGAGCCACCTTGATGCCTCCATAATCATCCGGGTTCCATCGTAGACTGTAGTCTATCCACATCTGGAATAAAAAATATGTCATGATCTATATTATGCTGTAAATGATATTTAATATATGATCCAAAATTCCTGGTTTGACAAAAAACGTCAAGAAAATACCGTCGTGTCAGCATAATGATAATCCAAACTCAAATCCAATAAAACTAGGACAAGAGACATATTGGCACAAATACTCCTAAAAAGTGTATGGAAAATAAGGCCAGATGTTCCGGAAGAGTAAGCGTCTTCTGTTTCATCGATACTCGCCATGTAAATCTCGGTCAATCCAAGCACGTTATGTAACGTTCTCCAATGAGAACAAGGTATACAACATTGGAACCAACAGGCAAACTAACGAGCATAAAACACGTCCACCTTCATGTCGTACAAAGAAATATATTTCACAACGAGATCATTATGACGACCATAAAACTTTCCCATAATCTTCCTAAACTTTATATCTCGAAATTCTGCGTTGTGAGTGGCCTTTCTACTGCCGACATCTTGCACGGAAATCGAGAAATTGAGAACATACCCTCGAAAATTGAATCAACTGTGATATGAAATCACCAGTATCGAAATCATACCGCTGACCATAAGCCTGTTCGTTGAAGGAAAAGATCGCGGTAAACGGCTGGTTTACAATTCTGGTAGGTACCATGATGGACATGATCAATCATCTTAAAGACAAGACATCTTAAATCTTTAAGTGAAATTCGAAGGATTTCGCAGGGACTTGTTTCTTGCCTTGATGTCTTCGATAACTTAAGCATCATATAAAAAAGTTAGCCAAGATATGTACACAATTTGTTCTCATAGATAACCCATTTGAAGACCAAGCGAAGATATCAGAATCAGAAATTCAATGATTTTTGTGATTTTTCCTCTGCATATTTCTTGATTTATTTACGAAATACATTCCAGCAGAGACGTATATATACGTCTCTGATTCCAGTAAATTGAACCGCCGTTCATCTGTCTTTACATAGTAATGTCTAATTGCTGGAGACTAAATGAGTTTCTTAAGTTTAGAATGTGCTGTTCGAGTATACAGTGAAAAAGTAAAATCATCTCCGGGAAGACTGACCTTCGAAAAGGTTTTCCAAGAATCTTTGCTGAAGATCTGTTAAAACAACTTGGAAAACCAGCAATAAAGCACTTTTTATATTGATTTTAGTTATCCAATATCAACAGAGGTCCTTATCTTTATCTTTAATTAACAATATAAATTGTAATACTGAAGCATCATTAAAGCGGATATTCCCTTACATTTCAACATCGGGAAATCTAGAATTCGGCTTATGAATAATAAAATATATACATAATAAAGCGATGCACGCGCCTATAACGTCAAATTTGTTGTTTTGTTCATATTTTCGGCGTCGGAACATTGTTTATCTTGACCATTGTTTATAAACATGTTCACGCTCGGTTTATTACGAAGAAAGCCGAGTGGGTCACATGGCTTGTCACGTGACGAAGTCATTTACTTCCGCCGCAAAGAACAAACGCACGTCTTATGTATGACACTTGCTTTTGCGCCTTTCTACTAATTCTTGTTTGCAGTAAAGGATTCTGTAGTGTTATAATATATAATTTTTAACAATCAATCTTAGTAATTCGTTTAGTTTAGGCTTGTCGTGCGAGAATTATCTATGTCAATCGCGGGCGCTAAACTAGTGTGGCCCCAAAGGGGGTAATTGCAATCGGAAAAGAAAAAAAACCTCATTGTGCAGAAATGCACAGGAATTGATACTTTGTCAGTATGCATTAAGATATATTGTTTACCATTCAACATGTGTCTATGTATTTATTTTGAAGGTTATGTTTATCACCACGGTCGTCATTCTCACAGTAACACCAGTACCGTCATATTTCTACACTTAGAATAAATACCCACAATTGGGCCCCACCTTGCAGCCAACAACAAACACACGTTGTCGATAGTAAATTCAAGCGAATAACACAACTATTTTCATTCAACATTTATCAGATAACACTTTTAGTAGCGTTGTTCATAACATATTCACGTGTCAAACACTGGATATTGGATTATAATCAATGAAAGGCTTATAATTATATGGCTGACGTTCAGCTAACCAGTCAAGCTGCAGCTTCGCAAATTCTTAATCCGTATTCAGTCCAAGATCCTCCTTCATCTTTCGCCATCTATCGGTCTCGTCTAATATGAATTCTTGCCTGTCCTCTTTTCTGGTCTGACTCCTTCCTCTTACGCTTTCTGGGACTTTCTGTAAGGTAACTTTTAGGTCCTCGTCGGCTTTTCGTATTTGCGTGTGCCATATTGCTTCTAGGCTTATACGCATCAGGGTTACGAGCGGAAATGTGTGAATTAAATCAAGACCGCAATGTTTACATTCTTTATCTTTTAGAGATCAATAAAAAATGGTTGCAGTGACTTTTAATTTTAGTAATTAACATAAAGTCTCAGTTTTGTAACATACTATTGGAAAAAATAGCGTTTTATATTAATTCCTCGTAGTGTTTTTAACATTATAGTCGCTTTAAGGGATTTTCAAATGTTCAACTTTTCTGAAAAATTAGATACGAATACAACTGACAATCGTACTCTTTTGACGTAACATGGCTGACACGTTGCTCTCTTATGGAATTGTGCCTTGTTTGACATGCGAACGCTTGACATTACAGTCCACGTAAAGGTCTTCAATTTGTCGTGATAAACACGGCAAACCTTTATAGAGACCTTGAGCGTGTCACTGAAGTGCTTCTTTTGTCCTCTTTGGCTAAAACTCTCAGCTGTCTGCAATAAATCACTAATCCCTGCATTTGGTATTGTCTTCACGTAACCGTAAGTTAAGCCTGACTGTTCAAAATTCCGCGTGTACTTGAGGGCAAGTGAAATACTTGCTAAGAGAGACACAGGATTTTACAAACTTTGGTGATTTATCTATTGCTGAAGTTTCACGCCTGCATGTTAACGCCTAACAAATAATCTGCCCCCAGAGATCATCCGAGATGCACGGTAGTGATTATGACTCTGGTTCCTCAGAACTAATAAACCTAGTTGAATGGACATAGGGTGAATGTTATTATGCATCACGTGAGTCACTATGGTGACAGCAGAAATTCTCAACTGCACGTAATGGTGATTTTATTTTTGTGCAACTCGTGCTTACTCTTAATCCACGAATTCACATGTCAAAAAGTAAATAAGATTTGCAATTGTATCTTAGGATAACCTAAAAACCTCGTTTTATTTATTAGCAACAACAACAACAATACCACCATCACCACCACCACCACCACCACCACCACTACTACTACAACTACTGAAAAATATCAATGTCAATGTGTCAATGCGAATTTCTTCAAAACAGTAAAGATAGAAAAATCACCCTACTCGTGACGATTTCGTCCTAAGAATATTTCTTCTTCCAGTTGGACGTATTTTTGCACAAAAATAATCTACAGTATAGTTTACAACCATATATTTGTACCGTCTTTCACCTTTGTTTGAAAATAAGTTTTTTTCATAACAAGAGAACGAAACGCTCTATGTTTGGAATGGGGTTGTGGAACATGTTGAAAACATAAAACATATGCAAGTCCGTGTATGTTGATGAGAGTCCTTCGATATAAAACATTACTGGAAACGAGTCAATATGAGTCAATATCTCGATAGGGGTTGATACTTCTCATACAACAAAAGAGAAGTGTAGATCAGAGTTTACATGAATTGACCAGTGTCTCACGACAAAAGAAAAGTGTTGATTAATTTCACAAGACAAAACAGTGTGAAACAGTGTCAATAGGATTTCGTCAGACTTATAAAACAGAAGAGCAGTGTAGTTCTGAGTCAATGTGAGTTGATCAGTCTCGCACGACAAAACGAAGAAGCGTGGAACCGAGTCAGTATGAGACATTTCACAAAATAGCAGCGTATAACGGAGTCTATGAGAAATGAATAGACTTTACAGCAAATACTGTTGAACCGAGGCAAAATGAGTTGCTGATATTCTGGCGACCGAAAGAGCAGTTTGGAACATAACCGAGTCAACGTGCTTTGTTGAAATACGTGATACTAACACTCAAGCTACGTAAAGAATCTCATGACAGAGGGCTGGGATGGGTTACCGCTGGCTATATAGCTGTGTAATGTGGAGCTGCTTCGACGATCTTATCTCTTAATCAAACAAACGAGATATATCAAGAGCTAATTAATCAATTTCTGGTTTACGATTTATTGACATTTCGGACATTGTCAGTGAGATCTTGTATTGGGAAAGCTTGCGTTCGTTAGGGTACTGCTTTGTAATTTGGACCATTGATCATTTGTAGAACACAAACGAGGGTCATTGGTTTCCATTGGTACATGTCAATTTTAAAATCCTCTAGAGAATTCTTCGCCAGGGTGACCTTTAAACAAGTTTATTCACCGTTATATTGAACACCTTTTCATCGTGTCAGACAATTCTATTGGAAATCTCATGGTAGCTGAACAGTTCCAAGAGGAAAATGAAATCCAACACACCATGTGTGAAAATGGACGAGAAAATTACAAGCAAACTGCTCTGCGTTAGTTATATTTGATCTGATATCAGATGATAATACACGTCATTACGATACGAGATCCAATGAGATTTTCATGCTTCTATCTTAATTTCAAAACATTCGCGTTTCTTCCAATGTTTAATCCATTTTTAGCTTTTTTATCTGATGACATTCAAATCAATTTAGAGACTCCGCTACTTTCACACACAAACTGAAATGTACTTCAAAAACGTCACCATCAAAATTCAAAAGCTTTTAAAGCAAAAACGTTAGAAAGCTGTTGAGGAAAAGAGAGGGAGACAACGAGAATCGACTTTTAACCTAAACTATCAGGGTATGTATAGAACAAACTTGTTTGGAAACAAAGTAGAAAAAATAGACCTGTTGGCAGAATCTTTATTTAAATGAAACAATAAAAAAAAACAAAAACAAAAAAAACAGGTGTTCCTTGAGGGAAGACATAGTGACTGATAGAGGCTGACAAGTCCCAAGCTGTGTCTTTTAACGTCTTGAATGTGTACGTTATAACTGTATTGTACTCGGGATAGGAGTCGTGAACAGACGTAACACATGATACATCAAAAGATGCACGTTGGTTAAAATCATTCGGAGGTTTTACGGTTAACATAGTGATCGCATTATGAAATATTTAATATTTTGTGCAATATGAAGCTTGACATGTTTGCATGTTGGTTCCTCCGTTGTTGTATACCTTTAAGACGTAACATTACTTACTCGGATTGACCAAGGTGCATGTGGCGAGTCCGGCTATGAAGCAGAAGACGCTTACACTTGGTCGTATTATCCTTGTACATTTTCAGTAGTATTCGTGTAAATCTTTCTTTTGTTCATAATTTTGCCTGTTTTATTGAATTTGAGATTGGATTATGTTAATGTGGACATGTCGACATGCAGTCGATCCATATCATCGATGGTACTATTATAGCGTTTAGCATTGATGTACATTTTACTTTAATCACTGATATACTTAAGACCAACTACTTGGTAACGAGATAACCGATAGTTAAAGCATTTTGATAAAGAACACATCTAGTTTTGACCTTTCAATTTGTTTCTATTTCAAATTGATGTCAAACCAAACCCATGATCATTTTCCCAGTATCTTCCATTATCTTGTGTTTCTGCACATATTCAGTCTGCATTCAGTTGAAGAGAAATAACATGCAGGTTTTTTTTTTTACTATGTCAGATTGATCCCGCCTAGAAGAACAACAAGTTTCTGTCTTTAATGTTCCCCGCTTGACAAACAAGTCACGAGAAGGTGATTTAGCTACAACGCATCACGCAATACAGCAGTGAAGAGATCGTCGTTGAGACATTAAGTTCATATTAAAGTGCTAAAATAGAAAATGTTTGAGTGATGCAAAATATCCGGCACTTCCATACTAAAATGTGTTGAAAACACACTATAACCCAAACTTTTATACACGTTTTGTAAAAAAACCCCAAAAAAAACAAAACAAAAACAAAAAAAAACCAAAAAGATATTAAGCTCAGTCAATATACCATTTAGAAAATAAAACTTTCATGTCAAAAGACTATTAGAACTAGTTCGAAGTCGCAGGTTTGAATATTGCAAAGCGGAAATGCGTATCAGGATATTTAAAGAATTTATTTTCTTAAAATGTGTATACATGCGGACAAATGAGGCGCTTTCCTCTTTTCTTGCAAACTTCGTAGGTGTGGAATTCAAACCAAACAATGAAATTAAAGATGTTGTCCAAATTTTAAGTTTTCTTAGATATAGAAATTGTAATATAATCACTTACTTGGTTAAGCCAGCAGTTGGTAGTTAAGATCTGGTTCTTTTCATCCTGAAATAAGAAATTTGTTGAATTTATTGAAGTCCGATGTTCTTACTCCGATAACAAAGGAAGACAACTAAAGTTTATAAAGATACACTTACTGACCAATTTTCCTTTATCAATTCCTGTTCCTGAAAACAGAAAGGCATTAAGAAATGGAAACGAAGGTGAACGGTCGCAGGCAGGGTGATACTTAAGGTGATGGAGATGTGGATGGTACGAAAGGCTGATAGAGCTTTGTGCACGCGGAAAGATAAATGTGTTTTCAATGTTCCGTGTTCCTGGACAGAAGTAAATCAGTTTTAATTGGACGAGAAAATATGCCTTTAATTAATAAACGCCGAAAAAAATTAAACAGTAATGCAAGAAATAATTATCATTGGTCTCGTCTGCTTAATTACACTTGCACTAAATTACACGGTGGGTGTAGTGGGCAACAGCCAACAATGGCAGTTCCTTACAAATATAATTATCCTGCCTGATACCATCTAACGCTTTTTTTGTTGGGTTTTTTATCAGTACAGAAGTTTGGCGATAAAAGAGGTATTTTTTTATGTATACAGGCACATATTTCCAAATATAACAGGTCATGAAATATTTTCATAACCAGCAACATTTTAAGTGGCAACAAGATTACATCAGTATATTAGTTATTAGAAATAATACGAATGACGAATGATATTTTATGAACCAAGACATCTCGTGTTAATCAGAATTCGAAAAACTAAGACTAAACCCATTAACAGACCTAACTGTGACAAAAACACACTACCCGCGAATCTCGACATTCATAGCTGAAATTTGTCATTATGTTTAACTGACTGATACAGACTCATATTCGTTATTCATTAATAGGGTCACTCTACACATAGATAATAGGAAACTGGAAAAATTACAGACGATCATTTGTCTTGAAAGACATTTCGGGGAGTGTAAGTCTACTGGTAATGGTGTGTAGTAACAGTTTGGTTAATAGAATGAAATCCGTGGGTTGGTGGCAGATGTTAGACACAAAAAGCATGTTATATTAGGAGAAAGTAATTGAAAAGGTGCATGACGTCAGTGTGAAAATTTGCCAATAAAACTTTCTGACATTCTCTCGGTAAACCACATCAGTGGCCAGCCACAACGAACTGAGGCCGTTACAAAACCTCAGATTTCCAAGCTGAAATCTGTTTCTGCATTGTATTGTGTATTAGAATTAATAGGGTTCAATATCTTAGGTTGGTAGTATGTTTTATGTATGGATTCCACAGTTTAAGATAATCCCTAAAGGAGATAGTTGAATGGTCTGGGGAGGTACAATTTAGAAAAAAAACCACGATTATACAATGCATCATCAATATGTTATTGTACAATATAAAATGATCGAGTAGTTTTTTTTTCTTCATTTATATGACATTGATGTACAAAGAAAATATGACGCAACAAATGATAATTCGGATTAAGAAATTAAATATTCTGTTTTAATTCATTATTTGTTTCAAGTTTATCTTTTATGTACCCTTTTTGATCAGACAGAATCTCTAAATTCTCTTCAGTCTCAAATTTACTGACACAAATATTTGAAATTGAAACATCATTATCAGCTAATCTAGATGAACGTTCAGGCCCCTTGCATCAGTGCGGAGTCCTAGTAGGACGGAACAGCTGTATGATGTAGCATCATTGACGAGTCCTAGGTGGATGGGACAGCTGTATGATGTAGCATCACTGACGAGTCCTAGGTGGACGGGACAGCTGTATGATGTAGCATCACTGACGAGTCCTAGGTGGACGGAACAGCTGTATGATGTAGCATCACTGACGAGTCCTAGGTGGACGGAACAGCTGTATGATGTAGCATCACTGACGAGTCCTAGGTGGACGGAACAGCTGTATGATGTAGCATCACTGACGAGTCCTAGGTGGACGGAACAGCTGTATGATGTAGCATCACTGACGAGTCCTAGGTGGACGGAACAGCTGTATGATGTAGCATCACTGACGAGTCCTAGGTGGACGGAACAGCTGTATGATGTAGCATCACTGACGAGTCCTAGGTGGATGGAACAGCTGTATGATGTAGCATCACTGACGAGTCCTAGGTGGATGGAACAGCTGTATGATGTAGCATCACTGACGAGTCCTAGGTGGACGGAACAGCTGTATGATGTAGCATCACTGACGAGTCCTAGGTGGACGGAACAGCTGTATGATGTAGCATCACTGACGAGTCCTAGGTGGACGGAACAGCTGTATGATGTAGCATCACTGACGAGTCCTAGGTGGACGGAACAGCTGTATGATGTAGCATCACTGACGAGTCCTAGGTGGACGGAACAGCTGTATGATGTAGCATCACTGACGAGTCCTAGGTGGACGGAACAGCTGTATGATGTAGCATCACTGACGAGTCCTAGGTGGACGGAACAGCTGTATGATGTAGCATCACTGACGAGTCCTAGGTGGACGGAACAGCTGTATGATGTAGCATCACTGACGAGTCCTAGGTGGACGGAACAGCTGTATGATGTAGCATCACTGACGAGTCCTAGGTGGACGGAACAGCTGTATGATGTAGCATCACTGACGAGTCCTAGGTGGACGGAACAGCTGTATGATGTAGCATCACTGACGAGTCCTAGGTGGACGGAACAGCTGTATGATGTAGCATCACTGACGAGTCCTAGGTGGACGGAACAGCTGTATGATGTAGCATCACTGACGAGTCCTAGGTGGACGGAACAGCTGTATGATGTAGCATCACTGACGAGTCCTAGGTGGACGGAACAGCTGTATGATGTAGCATCACTGACGAGTCCTAGGTGGACGGAACAGCTGTATGATGTAGCATCACTGACGAGTCCTAGGTGGACGGAACAGCTGTATGATGTAGCATCACTGACGAGTCCTAGGTGGACGGAACAGCTGTATGATGTAGCATCACTGACGAGTCCTAGGTGGACGGAACAGCTGTATGATGTAGCATCACTGACGAGTCCTAGGTGGACGGAACAGCTGTATGATGTAGCATCACTGACGAGTCCTAGGTGGACGGAACAGCTGTATGATGTAGCATCACTGACGAGTCCTAGGTGGACGGAACAGCTGTATGATGTAGCATCACTGACGAGTCCTAGGTGGACGGAACAGCTGTATGATGTAGCATCACTGACGAGTCCTAGGTGGACGGAACAGCTGTATGATGTAGCATCACTGACGAGTCCTAGGTGGACGGAACAGCTGTATGATGTAGCATCACTGACGAGTCCTAGGTGGACGGAACAGCTGTATGATGTAGCATCACTGACGAGTCCTAGGTGGACGGAACAGCTGTATGATGTAGCATCACTGACGAGTCCTAGGTGGACGGAACAGCTGTATGATGTAGCATCACTGACGAGTCCTAGGTGGACGGAACAGCTGTATGATGTAGCATCACTGACGAGTCCTAGGTGGACGGAACAGCTGTATGATGTAGCATGACGAGTCCTAGGTGGACGGAACAGCTGTATGATGTAGCATCACTGACGAGTCCTAGGTGGACGGAACAGCTGTATGATGTAGCATCACTGACGAGTCCTAGGTGGACGGAACAGCTGTATGATGTAGCATCACTGACGAGTCCTAGGTGGACGGAACAGCTGTATGATGTAGCATCACTGACGAGTCCTAGGTGGACGGAACAGCTGTATGATGTAGCATCACTGACGAGTCCTAGGTGGACGGAACAGCTGTATGATGTAGCATCACTGACGAGTCCTAGGTGGACGGAACAGCTGTATGATGTAGCATCACTGACGAGTCCTAGGTGGACGGAACAGCTGTATGATGTAGCATCACTGACGAGTCCTAGGTGGACGGAACAGCTGTATGATGTAGCATCACTGACGAGTCCTAGGTGGACGGAACAGCTGTATGATGTAGCATCACTGACGAGTCCTAGGTGGACGGAACAGCTGTATGATGTAGCATCACTGACGAGTCCTAGGTGGACGGAACAGCTGTATGATGTAGCATCACTGACGAGTCCTAGGTGGACGGAACAGCTGTATGATGTAGCATCACTGACGAGTCCTAGGTGGACGGAACAGCTGTATGATGTAGCATCACTGACGAGTCCTAGGTGGACGGAACAGCTGTATGATGTAGCATGACGAGTCCTAGGTGGACGGAACAGCTGTATGATGTAGCATCACTGACGAGTCCTAGGTGGACGGAACAGCTGTATGATGTAGCATCACTGACGAGTCCTAGGTGGACGGAACAGCTGTATGATGTAGCATCACTGACGAGTCCTAGGTGGACGGAACAGCTGTATGATGTAGCATCACTGACGAGTCCTAGGTGGACGGAACAGCTGTATGATGTAGCATCACTGACGAGTCCTAGGTGGACGGAACAGCTGTATGATGTAGCATCACTGACGAGTCCTAGGTGGACGGAACAGCTGTATGATGTAGCATCACTGACGAGTCCTAGGTGGACGGAACAGCTGTATGATGTAGCATCACTGACGAGTCCTAGGTGGACGGAACAGCTGTATGATGTAGCATCACTGACGAGTCCTAGGTGGACGGAACAGCTGTATGATGTAGCATCACTGACGAGTCCTAGGTGGACGGAACAGCTGTATGATGTAGCATCACTGACGAGTCCTAGGTGGACGGAACAGCTGTATGATGTAGCATCACTGACGAGTCCTAGGTGGACGGAACAGCTGTATGATGTAGCATCACTGACGAGTCCTAGGTGGACGGAACAGCTGTATGATGTAGCATCACTGACGAGTCCTAGGTGGACGGAACAGCTGTATGATGTAGCATCACTGACGAGTCCTAGGTGGACGGAACAGCTGTATGATGTAGCATCACTGACGAGTCCTAGGTGGACGGAACAGCTGTATGATGTAGCATCACTGACGAGTCCTAGGTGGACGGAACAGCTGTATGATGTAGCATCACTGACGAGTCCTAGGTGGACGGAACAGCTGTATGATGTAGCATCACTGACGAGTCCTAGGTGGACGGAACAGCTGTATGATGTAGCATCACTGACGAGTCCTAGGTGGACGGAACAGCTGTATGATGTAGCATCACTGACGAGTCCTAGAAGGACGAAACAACTGTATGATGTAGCATCACTGACGAGTCCTAGGTGGACGGAACAGCTGTATGATGTAGCATCACTGACGAGTCCTAGGTGGACGGAACAGCTGTATGATGTAGCATCACTGACGAGTCCTAGGTGGACGGAACAGCTGTATGATGTAGCATCACTGACGAGTCCTAGGTGGACGGAACAGCTGTATGATGTAGCATCACTGACGAGTCCTAGGTGGACGGAACAGCTGTATGATGTAGCATCACTGACGAGTCCTAGTATAATGAAAGAGTTGTATGTTGAGTCCTAGGTGGAGAACGGAACAGCTGTATGATGTAGCATCACTGACGAGTCCTAGGAGGACGGACAGCTGTATGATGTAGCATCACTGACGAGTCCTAGGTGGACGGAACAGCTGTATGATGTAGCATCACTGACGAGTCCTAGGTGGACGGAACAGCTGTATGATGTAGCATCACTGACGAGTCCTAGGTGGACGGAACAGCTGTATGATGTAGCATGACTGACGCTGTATGTGTAGCTAGAGTCCTAGGTGGACGGAACAGCTGTATGATGTAGCATCACTGACGAGTCCTAGGTGGACGGAACAGCTGTATGATGTAGCATCACTGACGAGTCCTAGGTGGACGGAACAGCTGTATGATGTAGCATCACTGACGAGTCCTAGGTGGACGGAACAGCTGTATGATGTAGCATCACTGACGAGTCCTAGGTGGACGGAACAGCTGTATGATGTAGCATGACGAGTCCTAGGTGGACGGAACAGCTGTATGATGTAGCATCACTGACGAGTCCTAGGTGGACGGAACAGCTGTATGATGTAGCATCACTGACGAGTCCTAGGTGGACGGAACAGCTGTATGATGTAGCATCACTGACGAGTCCTAGGTGGACGGAACAGCTGTATGATGTAGCATCACTGACGAGTCCTAGGTGGACGGAACAGCTGTATGATGTAGCATCACTGACGAGTCCTAGGTGGACGGAACAGCTGTATGATGTAGCATCACTGACGAGTCCTAGGTGGACGGAACAGCTGTATGATGTAGCATCACTGACGAGTCCTAGGTGGACGGAACAGCTGTATGATGTAGCATCACTGACGAGTCCTAGGTGGACGGAACAGCTGTATGATGTAGCATCACTGACGAGTCCTAGGTGGACGGAACAGCTGTATGATGTAGCATCACTGACGAGTCCTAGGTGGACGGAACAGCTGTATGATGTAGCATCACTGACGAGTCCTCGAGCATCCTAAGTGGACGGAACAGCTGTATGATGTACCATCACTGACGAGTCCTAGGTGGACGGAACAGCTGTATGATGTAGCATCACTGACGAGTCCTAGGTGGACGGAACAGCTGTATGATGTAGCATCACTGACGAGTCCTAGGTGGACGGAACAGCTGTATGATGTAGCATCACTGACGAGTCCTAGGTGGACGGGACAGCTGTATGATGTAGCATCACTGACGAGTCCTAGGTGGACGGAACAGCTGTATGATGTAGCATCACTGACGAGTCCTAGGTGGACGGAACAGCTGTATGATGTAGCATCACTGACGAGTCCTAGGTGGACGGAACAGCTGTATGATGTAGCATCACTGACGAGTCCTAGGTGGACGGAACAGCTGTATGATGTAGCATCACTGACGAGTCCTAGGTGGACGGAACAGCTGTATGATGTAGCATCACTGACGAGTCCTAGGTGGACGGGACAGCTGTATGATGTAGCATCACTGACGAGTCCTAGGTGGACGGAACAGCTGTATGATGTAGCATCACTGACGAGTCCTAGGTGGACGGAACAGCTGTATGATGTAGCATCACTGACGAGTCCTAGGTGGACGGAACAGCTGTATGATGTAGCATCACTGACGAGTCCTAGGTGGACGGAACAGCTGTATGATGTAGCATCACTGACGAGTCCTAGGTGGACGGGACAGCTGTATGATGTAGCATCACTGACGAGTCCTAGGTGGACGGAACAGCTGTATGATGTAGCATCACTGACGAGTCCTAGGTGGACGGAACAGCTGTATGATGTAGCATCACTGACGAGTCCTAGGTGGACGGAACAGCTGTATGATGTAGCATCACTGACGAGTCCTAGGTGGACGGAACAGCTGTATGATGTAGCATCACTGACGAGTACTAGAAGGACGGAACAGCTGTATGATGTAGCATCACTGACGAGTCCTAGAAGGACGGAACAGCTGTATGATGTAGCATCACTGACATGTCCTAGAAGGACAAAACATCTGTATGATGTAGCTTCACTGACGAGTCCTAGAAGGACAAAACAGCTGTATGATGCATTTTAGATAATTATTTGACTCTTCCTCATCTAATTCTAAATCTTTCCTTAAAGGTGTAATTTCAGTTGTGTGTTTTAGTAATTTTTTTGGTCACTAGGCACCCACAAAATCGTTTATTTTTTAAATTACCCATGAATATTCCTTGCTATGGACATGATGTGCAGAAACTGATATCATCACAAAATTCCACACGAAAATGCCCTCACAATTTTCCGTGTTTTAGTTTGTCCTATATTACAGAGGAACCGAAAATTCGTGTTGTAGTCAGTAATATTGCCACATCGCAATTATAACAGAACATCGTTCCATTACAACAGGATACACCGTATAAATGTGTGCACTCCAGGAATGGCGACATAACCTTCGGTTTATTGATATAAATCGCCCTCCAGTCACACCATAATTGTTTATCTGTAAGGTAATCTATGCAGAGACACGTGTCGGTGACATTGTAACCACTAAATAAACATTGGGAATTAATAAATCACGTGACCCATGTCCTTAGACGTTGTTGTTGTGTAAGTGAGTTTGACATAGTGTTGAAATATTAATTTTGCACTGATATATTATAAGATATATAAAACAATACAACGATATTAAAATGATGTATATGAAGGAAACCTCATTATTTTGTACATAGCTAAGAAATGAATGAGTGTTTAGTTATAAGTAAGAGAATCTTGATTTAGGTGAGAATTACTGCGTGGATTATGTGTTAGTTTTACGGTCGACATTAATCTCGATGAGAAATACTCCATTTCTTCATGTTATATGAAGCTGGATGTATTTGATACTTGTTAGTATGACTGATGGTTCCGTGTTGTATTTTTTTCATTTGACATTTCTGAATTTGATCTACTAACGTTTACATGGCAGGTGTTGCCGATGAAGAAGAAGACGCTTACGCTTCAGGAACACATGGTCTTATTGTCCTTGTTTTTTTCAAGGTGTCTCCGTGTTACTCTTGAATTTTTTTTCATGTTTTCCTAGAATCACTAAATGTGTGCTGGAATGTAGATTTATTAACATGTCGGTTTGTTCTTTTTGTGATAGAACCAAATTTTAACTACACGATGATTTGATTGATATATTTAGACATATATGTATATATACAAAATACTATTGCGAAATTGATTTTTGTCCAATCAAACATAAGATGATGGGTATCCCCGCTGAGGAATAGAAATTATATAAGCTTACAGGTTGCTTTTCACGTACAGTTTGTCATATAATACCGCAGTCTTCGACTTAAACATGTGCCTTTGGTTTTAATTCTTACATGCTCACAACGTGAACATTGATGAATTTGTTTAATCAGGGATTTAACTTTATCTACTATCCATTTTTATGATTTGAATTAATTATTAATGTATAACCATGCACAGTCGAAACTCGTACGTTCGAAGACCCCGTTTAATTCGAAAAATTCTGTCTGTACCGGCCAATCTTTTCACTAAACATTCGATCTTGCTGAAATCAAACAACAGAATATCTCAAAGTTTTCCAACGGTTACATAGACTTGGAAAAAAGGAATTTCGACTGTAAATATTTTTCAAAAAATTAAATTTTTTAAACACTTTTATTTACTTTTTTAATTTTTTTGTATAAATTGTTAATAAGTGAAAGGAAAAAGACATTGGTTTATGGTTAAGTGGTAAATAATAGATTTGGTAATTAGAACACCAAGTACATGTGAATACTATAGACCAAATCAGTATTTGAATGAATTAATACTCTTCTGACGTTTAGGCCTACTAGGTTTTTGGTTCTTAGCTTTGTGGTCACTGTGACTTACTTGAAATTAAGGTATCGTTTTCGAGTGACTTCGAACTAGAAGTCATGGATGAAATGAACAGTGTTCATTCGTAGGACATTAAACAAATCAAAGAAATAACAGACTACGAGTCGATGCTGGTTTACTTTGTTTTCAATCTCTGTGATTGGTTGAAATACGTGATGACGTCACGATAATCATATCATATGTATTGTAATCAAGATAAAGTGATCACGTGATACTGCTTCATCGAACGTGGTACATTTACAAGAATTAGTGATATTGATAAATATAACACTAAGAATTGTTATCAGCTGTAAACAATGCAGTGCTTGCTATTGAAGTAATGTCCTTTGATTGACGAAGAATTTTGTGTCAGGAATGAAAAATATGTTACAGTCAGATCTTTTATACAGAGAACGATGAGACTTAATACTTTTATCGGGGAGCCATGACACTTTGATGTCTAGATGTCTGGAACTAAAAACCTAAAAATCACACAAAGATAATATTGGCAAATGTAAGTAAGACTGAGGACCCAGAATAACTTATTTATAGATTTTCATTTGCATAAACCTGACATATGAACTTTGACCGAATAAAGATAAGTTTTTTGTAGGTAATATTTTGGCACTCACCACGTCTATGATCTGCGAGAGGGCGAGACCAAACGTGACGTTCAGGGCTTGGGAGGCATTGAGCGAGGGCCGAATTCGCTTGTCGTAAGTTCCCAATAGCTTGTTCACCAGGCGGTACTCGTTCATATCGGCATCAGTGTACAGTGCTGTAATGAAACAGAAGAAGTACTTATACAATATCACTACTTGAGTCTAATACTGAAAACCACATTTTTTTTTTACAAATGATGACTTTAAACTTTAAACAAGACAACAGAAACTGCAATTACACGTTAGTCCAATAACTCTGCCACAAAAAAAAAAAAAAAAAACCAAACAAATAAATAAAGTAATATTGCCAATTTAACATTTATATGTACAGTTGCCAGAATAGCAGAGCGCTATTCGTCATGATTATTTAACTAATATATGAATTCTGATGTCTTTTCCAGCTCAGCCCGACCAATATTGATAAAATTCCCACAATTAGGCCAATATCATATCAGCTGACTTCCCGATATTGGCCGGCCTTCAACTCGGCCACTATGACAAATGTGCCAAATGAAGTTTTTCGCTTCATTCGGAATTTTGCATTTTGTTCACAGCTTCTCTGTCTGACGTACCATCCAGTGTTACTACAAACAACAAGACTTTTTCTGGTTATAAACATGATATAATGGTAGGCTGGGATGGTAAGCAAATCACAATTTCGGAGAATTCCGACATTGTTCCCAAAGCAGTGGACGTCCCTCGGCCTTAGTTTGTTGAAAATATAAAAGAAGATGGCTATGATTTTTTACAATTGAAATATTCTTTAAATTTCCGCATTTAAATATTCAATGTTATTATCTAAGGTGTTATAAATCAGCTGATATCACATTGGCCCAGTTATCAGGCATTTATCTGCTATTTTGGCCAAGCTAGGTCTGAGACTGTCATATTGACCCAGTCATTAGGCATTGGACTGTAATATTAGTCCAGTTACTAGGCCTAGGACTGTCATATTGGCCCAGTTATTAGGCCTTAGACTGTCATAATGGCCCAGTTATTAGGCCTTAGACTGTCATATTAGTCCATTACTAGGCCTATGACTGTCATATTGGCCCAGCTATTAGGCCTTAGACTGTCATATTAGTCCAGTTATTAGGCCTTTGATTGTTATATTGACCCAGTTACTAGGTCTAGGACTGTCATATTGGCCCAGTTATTAGGCCTTTGATTGTCATTTTGGCCCGAAACCAATTTAATATCTATGGATTAGTTACAAGATATTATCCAAACTACTTTCCTGTATTGTTGTAAAAAAAGGCTAGCACACCATCAAACAAATCTACATGGCAACTGAGTATCAATTTACAATCTTCTTATCTAAAAAAACACACATTCAAATGTCCTTGTAAAATCATTTTCCTGTATTTGAAATGTTTCGTCTTTCAACACGAGGTTTCAATAACGCTTTTCATGCGACATAACAAAGCAATGTTTCTGTTTGTGATTTGTACTGTCGCTGATCTTTAAACATCAATCGTTACGAATTTTCTAGTTATCTACCTATGTGATGTCACCTGATCCTAGTCTAGTGTTACTTATTACGTCAATGTTCGGTCCCTAGCGGAGCCATTAAAAGAAGTAACGACCAGCATTATTATTCTCCAATGAAAGCTCGAGCACATGGATGTTTCCTGGAGTGGAAAATGATTTTTTACCCTAGGAAATACTGACTGCTTCCAGCTTGTTCGTGTAGGAGATATAGAAAGTTTATTTTAGCTCTTCGTGTTGAGCGTTATTCAAGTGATATGGAGTTATTGGTTTAAACAGAAAATAGTGTTTTTACGTAGATATACTGAAATCTTTCACGTGCAGCCATTAAACACCACTTGCTAAGAAAACGAGGATAAATAAAATAGGTGAATTTAATTAACCTCATCAAATAATGGTTAGTGTTAAGCTGTCCATGTTGGTCTTGCTGCCTGAAAAAATCACGGTAAGCACCTAGTGTGCATGAGCAAGAAGAGTTTTGCACCATTTCCGATAAGCTAAAAAAAATGAAAAACAAACAAAGCGCGACTCTTTTCTCCGATCTCTTTATTATCGAGCAATTAAAGTCAACAAAATCGGCATTAATCATCCCTTCACGATTTCACCCAATATATTATATTTGATCAATGCTTTCTTCCTGCTTATCTTGAAAACCACTTCGTATCGTTCCAGATCATGACTAGTAAGTCCCTTCGCAGTTCTTACAAAGCATGCAAAGGTAGTCTTGCTTATGAGCAATAATTTAGGTCACATATTTACAGTGTTTTTCATCATCGCTTATTTATTGGACAGTCTAAAGTGTTGACACATGTACTACTGCCATATCCAGTTTATCACTCCGTTAATATGGTCACTGCGAGGTAGACTTACAGTCTTGACATTCTCTTTTCTCAGTTGAATGATCTGCCGTCAATGAATATTGCGGTTATATCACATTTATGAAGTATGATAACACACATGTCAAGTGCATTTTATGCTCTCGTGCCCATCTTGAAACTTGACATATGTCCTTGGCTTGTAACAAGGAATTAACTCATGGCATACCGCAGTGTCCGTCGTCCGCGTTTCGTCAACATTTTTAAAAAGTCTCTACTGGTTATGGACAACTGAGCAGATGTTGACCGAAAGGGGAAATTTTGGATTTGAAAAAAAAAAACAAAAAAACTTCTACTCCTCCTGTAGGAATGATTGGATTTATCTCAAACTAAGTCTGAAGCATCCTTGGATAAGCAGGACTTAATTTTGTATAGACGGTAGGTCTGTATTTGAGGCTTGGCTCAATGAGCAAATACTTATTAAGCATGCTCATACACGTACCATTTGGTTTACATATATTTCTAAAAATTAAACAGAGAATCCGTCGATTCGGAACACAAAATCCGGACACAGCCTATACGCTATGATATGCGAGTGCATGTTGGTATGAAAGATCTTATATGAATGTGTGTTCGGACCTTTAAGAATGCAAGTGTGATTTTAGAGGAAAATTCATGAATGAATGCAATAGGAAGACTGGAATATGCAGGATATATATATATATATGCTTGGTGCGTGGTGTTTGACAGCCCTCCTGCGCGAGGACAATAATATATTTGTAAGGAGTTTGATACCTAGGCTCCAACCCTGATAATCTAACAAGTTCTTGGACATTCATTTGTTTTCCTCAGAAAAAATTCTACTCCTACTATAGGAATGATTTATAATTGCCAAAAAATGTACTTGATCTGAAACATCCTTGGGTGAAGGTGACTCATCAGTGTATAAACAGTTATTCTCACCCCTGGGTTGGAAGGGACAGGACTAAATTGAGAAATCGAGCAAATACTTTAAAATACCATTTTTCTGTAGGAATGACTGGAGTATGTCCTAATTTGGTCCGGATGAGAGGAACAAAGTCCATTGTAGAGAATAGAATAAATATTTTGAAATCCAACTGTTATATGAATACTAGGAATCTGCTCCAATTGGGTCTTAAGCCTCCTGAAGGAAAAAAGAAATCTATTTTGTATAAACGGTTGGTTTCAGCTCTCAGCGGATTATTTCCAATTCTTCTTATTATTTAGAAATGATTGAATTTTTTCCCAAATTGATCTAAAGCATTCATAGGTGAAGAGAACTTAATTTTGTATGAGCGATGTATCTGATCCCCATAGGACAGAGAAGTAATGCCTAATAGAGGGAAAAGATAAATAGTTTTAGATAACTATATAAATAGTTTTAATGCTTTTTATCTAATTAAGATAAAGTCATTTTAGCACAGTAAACAAGGTGAGCGATGCAGGTCATATGGGTCTTCTGTTTTCGATTATCAAACCAAACTGAACAAAACATGAATGACAATGATAACAGTGTTGTTTTGACACTTTCAATAATATATTGCCTTGTATTTGTTTTAGTATTGGAATATTTTTACACATACAAAAAACAAAAGAGAAATTCTTTTCTCCTCCTCCTCCCCCCTCCTCCTTCTCCTCGTCATCATCATCATTTGAATTGCGGCAATTCGCGTTCTCAAATGAGAGCGAGATAACCAGCGTCATATCACTTCTTGATGAGATCACTTTAAAAATTACCCATAATTTTGATCAATTTGAATCTTTTGAAGCAATTTGTTATGAAATTTAATCATTTTTTTCCTACAAAATCGTTTCTTTTTAGATCTCAATACAGTCGTGCAAGATAATAACAAAATCTAATACAAATCCAGAATTACAGACCTTAGGGGAATCATAGAGCTGTTTCGTCTTCTATGACTCTTAAATAATATCAATGAACTAAAATTTAGATACTTTATAAGGGAATGAGGAAAATCAAAGGTGAAAAAAATGCTAAATTTAGAAAAGGAAGTGTAATAGCCCCATCATTCAATAAATTGCCTAATTTTCATACATCTCAAGAACGTCGAGTACATGGGTAAATTCTGAATTGCATTCGAATTAATGGAGATATGTATGTTACGGCAAGCCGTGGGACTGAAAGTCCACCAGCAGGGTTTACCACCTACAACCCCAAAAATTCAATATGTATAAATTATTCTATTTTACCGATATTTCTATTTATCAGGGTGTAGGTCGAGAAAGCACCAGACCTGTCAAAGAAGACTGTCATTAAAATGCCCTACCCAACTACAAAAATATATTGCCCTGAATCCCAGAAAAATCTAGGTTTGATCAAGTACAGCCTGTCGACAGATTATATATGTATCTTAACGCTTATTCCTTTTGATAATTGAAATCGGCGGTACCGCGACCTTGAAAACGCAGAGTTAAACATGAAATGTCACTGAACGTCTGGGGAAAACATAAGTTACCAATTGTCGTACGAGTTTTATCAAGTCTACTTTGAGCCTTTTTTTGGACATTTGACACAAATGACGTCATAATTAGAACGACGTATTAAGGAACCATGGAAGTAAGGAGAAAACGTGTTTTTCAAGGTTTGCATCATTCTCTCCCATAGTGCCTTGTGTTTCACCAATTACACAGAGGTGTATTGTAACTGTTAAGGAACGACAACTCTGGCAAATATTGAGGTGTATTGTGACTGTTAAGGAACGACAACTCGGATATATACTGAGGTGTAATGTGACTATTAAGGAACGAGAACCCGAATAGATATTGAGGTGTATTGTGACTATTTAGGAACGACAACTCGGATAGATATTGGGGTGTATTGTGACTGTTAAGAAACGACAACTCTGATAGATATTGTGGTGTATTGTGACTGTTAAGGAACGACAATTCTGGTAGTGATTGAGGTGTATTGTAACTGTTAACGAACGACAACTCTGGTAGATATTGAGGTGTATTGTGACTGTTAAGGAACGACAACTCTGGTAGAGATTGAGGTGTGCAGTGACTGTTAAGGAACGACAACTCTGATAGATATTGAGGTGTATTGTGACTGTTAAGGAACGACAACTCTGGCAGATATTGAGGTGTATTGTGACTGTTAAGAAACGACACCTCTGGTAGATATTGAGGTGTATTGTGACTGTTAAGGAACGACAATTCTGGTAGTGATTGAGGTGTATTGTAACTG